CTATGCCGAGTATTCATGGTACCTAGAATATGACATGGGTAGGCTGTTTGGTGAGTCTATATGGGGGGGGGGTGTATGTGTGATGTGTGACATCACGCATGTGCGAGGCCTGAACTGTGGCTTGTATACGGTTATGTGATGTGTGACACACTTGTGTACAAAGTGTGTTTGACTTATGTATAAAAGCCTGTGCTGGCCAGGCATTGGTGGCGCACGCCTTTAGTCCCAGCACTCGGGAGGCAGAGGCAGGCGGATCTCTGTGACTTCAAGTCCAGCCTGGTCTACAGAGCGAGTTCCAGGACAGGCTTCAAAGCTACAGAGAAGCCCTGTCCAGAAAGAAAAGCCTGTGCTGTATGTGATTTGTGAGTGCCATGTGGGTGATAAGTTGTGAGCCTAGGGGTGACACATATATGATGTGTGTATATATAAGGCCTGTGGGGTATCTGTAGTCATTGGCTGGCCCTCTTGAGGCTGTGGCCATCAAGTTTGGATCAGAGTGCCCCCCTGCTTGTGACTCCAGTGTCACAGTGTGACTCTTCTGTTTATTCCTGCTTAGGAGTTTCTAACCCTGACGATCATTCCCATTTGAACAGGGAAACCCAGGGCAAAGGAACCTGTGTTTATGAACCCTGAGATACATGTGCCCTTGCATGGTCCAGCACACATTCTGGCTGCTTACGTTGTTATGGTATTGCCCCAAGTCCTGTCTTTATGTGTGTGTCACCGTGCAGGCCCTGGCTCTGTGTGTGTACAGGTTTATGTGTGTGTCACCGTGCAGGCGCTGGCTCTGTGTGTGCACAGGTTTATGTGTGTGTCACCGTGCAGGCCCTGGCTCTGTGTGTGCACAGGTTTATGTGTGTGTCACCGTGCAGGCGCTGGCTCTGTGTGTACAGGTTTATGTGTGTGTCGCCGTGCAGGCCCTGGCTCTGTGTGTGCACAGGTTTATGTGTGTGTCACCGTGCAGGCCCTGGCTCTGTGTGTGCACAGGTTTATGTGTGTGTCACCGTGCAGGCCCTGGCTCTGTGTGTGCACAGGTTTATGTGTGTGTCGCCGTGCAGGCGCTGGCTCTGTGTGTGCACAGGTTTATGTGTGTGTCGCCGTGCAGGCGCTGGCTCTGTGTGTGCACAGGTTTATGTGTGTGTCGCCGTGCAGGCCCTGGCTCTGTGTGTGCACAGGTTTATGTGTGTGTCGCCGTGCAGGCCCTGGCTCTGTGTGTGTACAGGTTTATGTGTGTGTCGCCGTGCAGGCCCTGGCTCTGTGTGTGTACAGGTTTATGTGTGTGTCGCCGTGCAGGCCCTGGCTCTGTGTGTGTACAGGTTTATGTGTGTGTCACCGTGCAGGCCCTGGCTCTGTGTGTGCACAGGTTTATGTGTGTGTCACCGTGCAGGCCCTGGCTCTGTGTGTACACAGCCTCTCAGTTCTAAGCCTCTGCCTCTCGTGTGTCCACATGACACTTCATCTGTGGCTTTAGGTCCCCAGGCTGACTCTCTGGCCTCTGCTACCCTCTCTCTCTTGCCTTCTTCTCTGCATGTTGGGTTCCATGCTGCACCTCTGTGTGTGGGAGGCAAGAGGCTTTCTGGCTGCAAGCCTCCATCAGTTTACATACTGTAGTTCCAGAGGCAGCTGGCAGCCTAGAGCAAATTGTGACCATGGACTTGGCTCCCTCAGCAGTTGGCCTCTCCCTTGCTGGCTTACTCTGTTCTCCATGAAGCTGCAGGGGGACCCTTTTGAAGTACCCTGGCTCCTGATGTGGGGTCAGGTTGCTCTGCTAGCCTGGCTCAAGTCTGCTCATCCCAGCTCTGCCTGCTGAGCTCAGACCATTGCCTCCACGTGACAACTGGGGCTCAGTTCAAAGCATTTGAGTCTCTGTCCTTACCCCTGAAAGATCAGAAACACGACCTTACCTTCATGCCCCCTGAGTCACCCTTGCTTCCCTTAGAACTTGGGTACCTTTACAGGTCCACAGCCCAGGCTAGAAGCCTGCAGAAAACGTGGCTGGCCCACTTAATCTACTTATTATTACCTCAAAGCATCTGTGTGTCCTTGGATGCTTCTGTCTATCAGAAAGTTAAAACACCAAGGGCTTGAGGATGGCTCGGCAGCACCAGCTTAGCTTTATAAGGCTGTGTCTTGATTGGCTACCTGTCCTATGGCTGTGACAGGGCAGCTGACTGAAGCACCTTGAAGGAGGGAGGCTTCGTCTTGGCTCATGGTTCAGGGTCTATCAGTCCGTGATGGGAGAAAACGCTTGGCTACAAGAATAGCTCTGGCCGTGGCCCAGGCAGAGTCCGAGGGTCAGTGTCCCTCTCATCTTCAAGGATGAGCATATGGACTCAAAGTGGGGTGGGCCACCCTAGGGCCCACTCCCAGTTAGCCTGCGTCCACCAGCAGGCCCCATAGCCTCCCAAAATACCAGCAGCAGCTAGCTGGCAGGATCCGGTCACTAAAGCAGAACGTGCTGATGGCCGGTGTAAAGAGCGCCAGGCTCGTTTGGGGTGGATTTTCTGCATGGGTCACTCTCCTCCCTAGAGTCCCTGCTTATGGGAATGTGGAATCATGCGTGTGGCTGAGGCTTAAAGCTGAAAACTGAGTCTTTCTTGCCTGTGAGCCGCTTCCACAGAACCCTGTACTGGAAGTTGCCATGTTCCTTCCACAGAAGCCAAGGATACAAGGAAGGTTTGTCCCTGCTGAGATCAGGCCCCAGGCACAGGTGCCAGACCCACCCCAGGCTCCATCCTGGTGAAACATGTTTGCCACCTGTGTATGCCAGTGGCATGGCTGTCCCTCCACCTATCCTGTTCTGAAGTGAGGCAGCCCCAGCAGCACCTGTGGTCATGTATGGGTCACCTGTCTCCACCCCTGTGAATATGGCCATGTGGCCCCTTCGTATTTTGTTAAAGAACCATATCCCCAAAAGCCGAGGGAGCCCTGAGGGTCCATGGCTGACTTGGAGGCTTCCCGTGTAGAAAGGGAACTGTTTCTGAGACAGCCTGTCCATCAGGGGATTTGCAGACGGAGACTGCCTGCCAGGGGTGGGTGGGAGAACCCCAGGGGATGTGCCTAATTCAGGCCAGACTTAGCCCTCTGCCTTAGGTCTGACTGCCGTCATGGCCCATGTCTGCCATTGTGAATGTGAGACTGGCTAAGGAAGGAGCGGGTGTCCTGTCCCGTCCCTCCCCTTCGCCCCTCCCCCACAGCTCCTGAAACCCTTTGCCTTGAGGAAACATTTCACTTGTAAGACACCCAATTTTATCCTGAAAGGTTTGCAGGCAAGTCTGAAAGCCAATCAAATCTAGTGGAACCGTTTCTGCATAACAACTACTTAATACCCAATCATAACAATTATACATAATTTGTGTTTACAGTGCCTAGAAGATTAAACTCCTCCGCGCAGACGCTTTCCAAAACAAGCCTAGAACGTGCAGGGCAGGCAGGACTGCCACTCAGTGTGCCCACGGGCTGCCGTTAGGAGTCTGCAGATGGCAGTCGGCAGGATATGACCACCTAGGTCTGCTTCTCAGAGCAGGGTTGAGCCAGGGCCCGCCAGGGATGCTGGAGCCTCTGGACAGAGTGAAGACAGTTCCCCGCCACCATCCCTTACCAGCTCCGTTCTGCAGAAGCCGGGTGTGTGGTGTCCCAATGCTGAGGTCCAAGGCATACAGGAGGGGTGGGGCCTGAAGCATTCTAAAGCTGTGGCCAGTGCAGCCTCCCTGGGGTTCATGCGGTTCAGCTTTCTTTCTTAAAGAAAAGAAAAGATTTATTTTTGTCAGGCCCCTTTAACCCAGGAGGTAGCGGTAAATAGATCTCTGTGAATTCAATTCAAGGCCAACCTGCTGTAGAGTTCCAGACCAGCCGAAGCTCCATAGAGATGAATGATTAAAAGGGGATGTGTGTGATTTTTATTTTTTTAAGATTTGCTTCTTCTTATCTGACGCGTGAGTGTTGTGCCTGCCTGCCTGCATGTATGAATATGCACCACATGCACGCCTGGTGCCCGAGGAGGTCAGGTGTCAGATCTGCCGAAGCTGCAGCTGCAGGCAGCTATGAGCCTTCTGATGTGGATGCTGGGAACCAAACTGCCGGGCACTGCTTGCTCTTGAAGGTTGAGCCATCTCTCCAGCCCTCACTTTCTTTTGTTTGTTGCTCTTGTTCGGTTGCTTGTTTTCGTTTGGATTTCTGAAGACAGGGTTCCGACGTGTATCCCAAGCTTATCTTGAACTCATAGTGAGTCTTCCTGGGTTTACACGTGTGTACTTTCTGATACCGTGTCTGAAGAGCCTCCTCCAAATCTGCCCAGGGGACCCAGTGTGAGGAGATAGCTCGGTGCCTTCTTCCAACATATGCATTCTCATTGCTGAACCTTCTAGAAGGCTGGGCCACCTCCTGCCCCCTTCTCACTCTCAGATTGTGCAGCCCTGTGATGTTACCCCAGTCTCCCCAGACAACCCTGGGTACTGGGGTCAGGGCCCATCTGTCTCTTCAGCCCTTGCTGTTGGGCCTGCCTGCTGAAGGTGTGAGCATGCCCCTAAGCCCAGCTGGCCTATTGCTTTCTCAAGCCAGGAGATGCGGAGCCTGCCCCCCAGACCCGTTCCTCCTCACCCCTGTGCACGCTGCCCTGCCCCACCCGCTTGCAGCAGCCCTGCCGCCCCATCTGCATGGCTCGCTCTTGGCAGCCCAGGGTGACAAGGTTATGCTGCTCCTCAGCCATGCACCAGTCACAGACTCACAGGCAGACGCCTCCAGCCCTATGGAATCGTGTCCCTCATCCCAGCGTGGCTCCCAAGCGCCAGGCCCCAGCCTTCTTCTTGGTCTCCCACTGTGCCCACCTTCTTTTCTGGCGACACTCTGGCCTCCCTAGTTGTGTGGCCCAGGGCTCACTGGGGAACTGCAGCCTGCTCAGAGGGGTGGCAGGAGCAGGTCCACGTGAAGGACGTGCATTTGCAGAGCAAGACCACTGAGATGACCCTGGTAACCCCCCCCCCCCCCGTCTTTCTACACAGCCTGTTCTGCCACTACTGCTACTCTCGGGGCGGCATGCGCCACACCTCTTACACCTGTATCTGCTGCAGGTAAGTCTTGGGCCTCGTGGGAGGAGAGGTAACAGGAAGCACGCCATCCTCCCAACCCCTAGGTCAGGGGCACTTGCTCACCCGTGCCCACACCAGTGCCTGGAAGTCACCTTGCCCTCCCCCACTCCACTGCTGGCACCCCGTGCTCTGTCACATACGTGCACAGGCAGCGTAAGACCAACAGGCTGGCCTCTGGGTAGCCCTGTAGCAAATAGGTAGACTGCTGTGTGCGATGGGGTAAAGCATGGATGGAGCTGGGTCAGCACCGGGATCGAGTCCTTTTATAAGAGTGTGTGCGTGGTTGGGGGGCCCATGCTCTGTGTGGGTGTCTGTGGCACGCTGAGGCTGTGTCATCTGCACATGACACACATGGTCGTAGGGGCAGCCGTTGGCTCTGACTGCACTGATGGTGTCTCCGGGACCATGCGCAGCTAGTGAGTGGCTAGTTGCAGGTGTCATTCTGAGTGTGACTATATGGGCGCTTGTGGGTGGCCTCCTATGTCTGGGGCTGAACCCAGCTGCCTCCCAAGCGCTATCCCTCCAGCCCAGTCCCTGCTCAGCCTGGACAGAGGTGGGCGGCTCTCACTGATGTGAGTGAGCATCCTCACACATGAATAATACATCTGAACATCTCTGTCCTTGGAAATGTTCTTCTCTGGTGGATAGAGAGAAGAATCATTATTTCTCCTTTTATGATCCCGAGACTCTCAAATGGAGCCATAAATATTCCTCCCAGGTGGGGTTTTCCCCTTTAGACAGACTTGCAAGTTCTTCCTAAAGGCGTTGCTCATTAGAGTAGCTCCATGGGACAGGGAACAAGGGGCCACTGGCTTCTCGTCTCCCTGGCCCTGCGTAGGACTCTTAGAGGCTCCTGAGCCCGCAGGACCCTTCCATAAACCTCCCTGCCTTTAGCCCTGCTCCAGGCCCATCCCATGAGCCTCTGCTGTTTCATCCCCAGCCCAGAAGGCAGCTGTCAGACCCGGCTTCCAGCTCTGTGGCTGGCAGGGACACCCTATTCCTCCAGTCCCCGCCACGCTGTGGGTTTGTGCAGCCTCCGGGTCCTGCTGGGTGACAGGGGCTCTTAACTTCCCTCCGTGGCTCTTTGCAGCGGGGAGAATGCGGCCGTGCTGCACTATGGCCATGCTGGGGCCCCCAATGACCGGACCATCAAGGACGGAGATATGTGGTAAGTGAGACTAAGCTGTCACCCCACTGTGCACACGAACGGCCGGGACAAAGGTAGACACCCCACATCTCTGGACCCCTGTCCCAAGAGGGCTGGCTATAGCAAAGCCCTGGGCCTGCTTTCAGGCCACACTTCTCTGCTATGGCTGTTAGCCTGCATGCTACCTTCCCCAGGCCTAGGCCTGCACCCTACAAGTAGAACCATGGGGCAGAATGCCAACAAGATTCCCTGTGCTTTTCTGCGGCGCTGGGAAGGGGCTGGGAGGGGGGGGATGCTTTTTTACTATCCCCAGCCTCTCCCGGGCTGTCCTTTCCAACCATTGAGCTCCATTTGGTGCTCCCCTCCCTGAAACCTGTCATTCTTGGTCACCAGGCTCCTTGCCATATGCAGCCCTTGCTCCAGCTCTGCCAAAGCCTTTTCCACTCAAGGGCACGGTAGGGGAAGTGCGGGCAGAGCGGGCAGAGCGTGCTAGACTGCCACCCTTGGGCTTGGAGGGATCTGCACTCACTGATACAGCTTTTCCTCAATCACCCGTCATCGCACCTGACATTGGCCAGGGCAGGCTCAAGCCATGCTGGGCTCCTAAGAGCCACCCTGAGGTTTGGGGCCTGGTCACAAGCCACACTGAGCCACCGTCAGTGGCTTGGCCTTCAGCTGTTCTGTGAGCATCACTTGACCAAAAGGACCCTGTCCTGCCTGGTTCTCAGATGTCTGTTTTGCTGATAGAGGGTCTAGCTAGAGCTGGTCAAGAACTTAGAGCAATCCTCCTGCCTCTGCCTCCCAGGTGCTGGGATTCCAGGCATAAACCACCATGCCTGGCTGGTTCTTAGCTGTTTGGGGGTCTGTTCAAAGCTGGGCTCCTAGGCAGTGACACTTGGCGCCTGGCGGGACATCGGCTTCCTTCTTAGCCACCCTCTGCTCTCCTTCCCAGGCTTGCGCTCTTGTGACGGCTGCTCGCTGGGTGGCTTTGGCCCTGCTGCGGGGAGTGGGGGCCCATGTGTACTGAGGGGGAGCACACATACATGGACAGACAGAGACCCACCCAGCTACTGAAAAACACACCACTCAGTCCCAAGGTCCACACTGGCACATGGCTGCCAGCCCGCCCACCGGGGTCAGCCACCGGGTGAGACATTCTGATGCAAGCCACTCGGCTTTCTGTAAGCAAAGCTTTGTCTCTGTGCCTCAGTTTACCCATCTGTGAGTGGAGATAACGACGTGCACCTCTCAGGACTCCCATGGCAATGACAGAAAGAACCTGTAAGGAACAGAGGGGCTGAAAATGGCCTCTCCCTGGGTCCCAAGCTGATAAACCTAGAGGGAGCCAACAGGAGATGAGGTCATTGGCACTCCGTCCCCTCCATGACTACAACAGGACCTCAGTCAGTGTCAGTCTGCCTGAAGGCTGCTCAGAGCCCCTGGAACCCTGCCCCTGGGAGCTGCCTCTAGGCACTGGGACTGGACTGGCTGAGGTTCAGCAGGGTGCTGGGCTCACAAGTGGTGTCACGGGGACTCGGGAGGGGGGTGTCGGCCTCAGACTTGGCTCAGTGAGAGACGAGGAGGAGGAGAACAGGCTCTAGACCATGGGGAGCCAGTGGCAGCAGGAGAGGCCACCTGGTCCCTTCAGGCACTCTGATGGCCCAAGCTTCCCGGTCCCTGACCCCCTCTACCCCTCACCCACACTTCCTGGCACCCCTCCTTCCTAGGGCCTTACGCATGATTGGCAAACATTAGCACTGAACCGTACCCAGCCCAGCCCTTTTTTCTCTTGTTATCTTGAGACAGAGTCTGACTACGTCCTTTCAGGCAGGACTTGGAGTTTCATCCTCCTGCCTCAGCCTCCAAGGAGCTGACACTCTGGTCTGTACCACAAGGTCTCACTGCCCAAGAGCTGTTCTGATAATCTTTGGCTCTGGTCTGTACTGGTTAGGACTGGAGGACAGGACACTGGACCCCAATCCCAGGGCAGAGGCTGAGGCCAGCCACATGAACAGGTCCCTGCCATCCCGGGAGAGCTGACGGGTTGGAGTCCCCTTAGCCCTGAGTTTGACTTCCCTTGAGTTCTTCACACAGCGGAGAAAGCGGGTACTTCCTCACTATCAACTTCATCTGTCCAAAAGGGGGTTCTTTCTTGTCCGGGGAGAAGGCCGGCACTACCTGCATTCCTGGGGACCCCAGAGATGGGTGGGGGCCAGCCAGGATGCTTGTGTCCCTTAGGCCTCTATGTAGCCCAGCTGCTGTGACCTCAGCCCTCGTGGGCAGCATGTGGCACCTGCGCCTCTGCGTACAGCTGTGACCAGGAGTCACCAGGAGCTGGGGAGCCCACGGATGTGCATGCCCAACTCAAATTGGTGATTTTGTTTTTCTAGTGCTAACTTTGAAATGTAGCCAGTGGAATCATTATGAGTTTATTATAGTCAATTTATTATGCAGCATTTAGAACATGTTTTGTTGATTACTGCTACTGCCAGATTGCTGGCGGCATTTATAATCCATTGTTTTATTGAAATTGATCTGCCAAGCACCCAGTGCGTTCGGTAAGTAATAAATCACACTGTTACCCCAACATAAAGCCGCAGTCCTTCACCGTAAGGTAGGAGACCAGGATGTGTGTATAGAGCAGGATCTGTCCCAAAGCTGAGCGCCTCCGGGATGGGGCACGTGTTCCAGGCACTGAGCACAGAGCTGCGCTCTGGGCCCTACCTAGCTTTTGCCACGAAAGATACTTTAACAGCAATAAGACCATTTGGGGAGTCACAGCTAGTTCAGAACAGTGAGGAGAGGGGTGCCGAGGGACCATCAGCCCCTCAGCCTCTTTTAGTGGCCCCAGGAGTGAGTACACCCACACTTCTCGGCATATATCAGGAGCCATGTTGTATGACCCTGAGCACAGAGGCTCCCCGCTACCGTCTAGTTTTCCAATCCATCTATGGGGCCCCAGAGCACTGACTCCAAGGATTCGGGAGCTGGTGACCGCTGAATGCGGACCACAAAGCCAGACAGGCTGGCTGTCTCCCTGTGTCTCTAAAATGCAGTTCCCAGCCCGGGGCCAGGGCAGGCGTAAGTCAGGCCGACTTTACTCAGACAACTTATTTTTAAAACAGTTGAACTGGGGTCTCACACTGTAGCCCAGGCTGACCGTGATGTATAGCAGTGCCCTTGCCTCCCACGTGCTCGGAATGCAGGCGTGCACCACTGTCGCCCGCTCATGTTAACCTTAGGTGAGGCTGAATGTCAGCTAAGGGTACTTCCAGCCACCATGGGCCACAGTCCTCACCCTTGAGGTCTAGCCATTGCCCAGCCTGGTCTGCGCTGCAGACCAAGTTCATCAGCCAAGCACTGCAGGCCATCCCACATCCAAGCCAGTGGCTCCCAGGTCCCTTCCTGTTTCTGTGGGTCAGATCCCACACCCAGCTGCTCTGTGTGGACCCTAGGGAAGGAGTGGGACACGTGTGGCTTCAGATGTCTGGGCGTCTTTCAGCGCAGACCTGTGAGACCTGTAGAGGCCTGTGGCTGTTGAACCTCTTGGAGTTTCCCTGTTGGCTCCCAGAGAACCTTCCAGCTGTCCGTGGAGTCCCTTGAACCCATCGGTCGGGTCACTGTCCTGCAGGAAGCGTCAGCTGCACTTTGTTTCCTTCTTCAAGGCAAGCAAGCAAAGCTTTGATGACAGGGCGCCAAGTGTGGCCATCTTGTTAGCGGATGCGTCCAGCATGTTCCCATGAAGGGTGATGTTGAACACGGGCACTGGAGGCCCTTCCTGAGTGGGAGGCCACAGAAGATGCTTCCCACTGCATCTAGCTCCAAGCTAGGTGGCTGTGAACACATCTAGAGAAACTGGGAAGGAGCCAGGGCGGTTCTCAAATACCCCTCTGAGCCGGCCCTCAGACTGATAAAGGCTGTAGCTGAGCCAACAGGAAAACCACCATCCATGCCTAAATCCACCGTGAAGCTGGGCATCCCAGCTTGAGTCGTTCTTGTGCAAGACTCTCCAGCCGAGCTGTGACGTTCTCTGCTTCTCCTCATTCCTGTGCAAGTTCATCCCACACGGCACAGGATGTGTCCTCAGTGGGGGGTTCCCCTCTGGAAAACAGCCAGGGCGCTCCTCCTCAGCTGGATGCCTCGGCTCCTCTCCACTTGTGCTCCAGGTCTGGGTGTCCCAAGGGGGCAGGTGGTGGCTGAGAGGTGCTGTGCAAGGCTTTCCAGCACTGGCCAGAAGAGGGCAGTGTAGCCTCAGGACGCAGCCAGGCCTCTGTCTGGGTTGTGCTTTGCTGTGCTGCCCTGGGTGTGGGAGGTGGGACAAGCCAGATCTAGCCTTGCACTTTGCAGCTAGCCAGTGCCCCTCCCCTCTCCGTCCCTGCTGTGGCCTCTGACCTCATCTGTCTCCCTGCTCTGATAATGGCCATGTCAGGAGGTCACTAAAACCCAGAGCAATGAGGGTGGTTTCATCCCAGAACAGCACTTAACGTTACCTAGAACTGTGCCGCCGTCCCTCTGTCTGTCTGTCCGTGTCACAGCTGGGGCCTGGGTGGCATTCGAGCTGTCTTACACAGCCGTTGCCATCACAGGCGTGCCTGTCCTCCCCCCTGGAGCACAGCCACCGCGCAGCAGTGGGATACGGCGATTGTACCTGTTCCAGTTGTGTGTCTGGCTGCCAGCTATGGCCCCAGACAGGCAGAGTCTGTGCCCGAGGCTCTTCCCTGGCTGCAGGGGGCCTGGAGTAAGGGGTGTGGCGGCTCCAAGCTCCTTGTTTCCTCTGCTTGGTATTCCAGTAGGCTTGAGAGAATGTGGCCACAGCTCCAGGTTCAACTCCTGCCTCCCCAGCCTTGCTTTTTCCAATTGGTGGCCACTAGGGGGCCCCACCAAGAGCATTTGGTAGTGGAAGATAGAACAACCTTTGGGACAAGCGAGCTCCCCTGCAAACCCAGGCCATGGCCAGCCAGCTGTCTTGTGCAGATGAGTCGGCCGAGGCCTTCAACGTGTCATTGCAGAAGACTGTTAGCCTTCTAGCCAGGGCTCTCATATTTGCAGCTACGTCTCCTGGCCATAAGCAACTGCCCTCCTCACGTGGTTCTGTCCCTGCTGTTTACTTTGTTACTGCTTTGTGGCCTCGCCCACCCCATTGACGTCACAACCCATACTTTAAAAAGCGCTAGTCTAGACGACCCGGGTGCTCACAGACATCACAAGACACTGTCACCAAAAAAAGTGAAATGAAGCATGTGCTGTCTGCGTGATGTTGACTGCTAGCCTCCCCCACCCACAGCAGCCACTGCCCTGGGGCCCAACCCTGGGCCCACAAGGCCGAGGCAAGCAGCAGCTGAGCGCCTGCCTCAGGTCCAGGCCACGGTATGGCGCCCCTCCCGGGCCTGGCCTGGCATTAGTGCTCTGAACCTCTGTGACGTCTTAGAAGGCAATGCCAGTTCTCTGGAGACATAGGAGGACCCCGGCATAGAACTGTTCTCATTAGAGAGTACACCAGCGATTTATAGATCTGGGCCTTATGGGTAGGGACCTGCTGCTAGAATGGAGGGGGGGTGGGCATCCCTGCCTACTTAGATCCCGAGGAGCAGCTGACCCAGGGAGTCTATGGGAAGAGGTTCACTCCATGGGTCGACCTGTAACCTAGGGGAGCGCTAAGAATGACTCCTCCGCTGCTGGCCATCTTTGAGGGCTGCCATCACCCAGGCCTGGTGGGCTGGGAGGCTGGGATCGGGCAGCTGACCTGAGAACTGGGAAGATGGATGCCCACTATGGCCAGCCTGGGGGCATGCATTGCTGCAGAGATAAGGTGACCAGCTTCTGTCCTGTTCCATCCCTGCTGAGGGCTGGGGCGGATGAGCCTTCTCAGCTGTTCAGAACCCCGTCTCTCTCCCACTCTCCCGCTCTCCCTCCGGCCTGGCATGCAGACTGGAGAGTCTGTACAAAGCAGGCATGCTTAGCACACGTGCACGGAAGATGTCAGTCTTGGATGAGAAGCAGCCGAGTGTGTGTTGCATACTCAGATTAAAATGAAGCTACAAGCCGAGTACAAAGTGGCCCTTGTATAAACATTGCAGCATTTCCCTTGGAGGCCTTCTGCCTGTGGGCTGGCTTGTCCCTGCGCAGGGCCTAGGGGAGTTAAGCAGGACCTGGAGAGGGTTCTGGGTGGGCCGGTGGTGGCAGGTAGCCCAGGCCCCGAGCTGCCCCACGAAGAGCGGGAGGAAGACAGAACGTTCATCTCAGCCAGAAGCACAGCCACAGGAACACATGTGGGGGGAGACGCCAGCACATTGCTTGGAGACATGTCGTCTCCCAGATGTCTCAGATTATCACACAGACCCACTCGGCCAGTGATGGAGGTGTCCCTGGTGGATGTCCCCAACACAGCCAGGAAGGGGAGAGCTCGCATTCTCAACAGAGCCAAGAGTGACGGAATCCTCCATCGTACTTGTGCATGGGAAGGGCAGGCGCAGTAGACAGAAAACCGGAGGGATGATTTATGAAGATGATGGCTTTCATCCCTGGATTCCAAATGGCTTGAATTGGAATCACTTATGCATGGAAAAGCACTGAGGGAGGATTTAAAAACAATAAACAACAACAGAGGAAAAAAAAAGGCAGAAAATATGGGGAACTGAGAACGCAGAAATAGACTCGAGCCCGTGCCCAAGCGTCGCCAGGCAGGATGGAGCTGGCTGGCAGGGGTACACTTCCTTCTCCAGAAAGTGGATGATTTGAACATAGGGCTGAAGCCTTTAGAAGCTGGAGGAGAGAGCCTGGCTGGCTGAAGAAATCAGAGCGCCCATCATGCCATCTCTGTTTAGGGGAAGGTTTGGAGAACTTGGTTCAGGCTGATGTGCCCCCAAAGAATCTTGTTTTGTCCCACTGTAGATGATTCTAGCATTTCGTGTCATCGTGGGAGCTTCCTGGTTTTTAAAAATAGCTCGTTTCTGTTTTTCCTTTAGACTAGCTTTAGTAGAATCGTCTTCCCCAGGGCCTTTGCAGGTCACCCTTCCTTTGTGTGACACCGCCCAGGAACGAGTGCCTCCCCATGCCTGCCCCTGTCCTGTCTGCCCAGGCCTGGAGCATCAGATGCTCCAGGAAGCCCAGATAAAGGCGTTCTTCCAGCGCCCCGCACTGGGGCCCCTGGCAGCTCTGCTCTGTCCCCTGCTGCCTGCACTGGCCCCAAGAGCACCTTCACATCTGCAGCTTGCAAGGGTCACCTGCCCGTTTTAAAGGTGGAAAAATGAGGCCCCGAGGCAAAACGGGGTGCCTGAGGTGTTCACCTCCCTCACCAGAGGGCTTTCCTGGGCCTCTGCTCACAGCCTCAGTTTCCCTTCCCGTCTGAGTCTTCTATGTGCCTTGCCCTCTAGGCACGCCCTACAGAGGAGTAAACCTCCAGGCAGTTTCTGGCCCAAGGGCCACAGCGCAGCCCAGGGAGCAGATGCCTGGGTGTGTCTCCCGCCCTCTTATAACTGAGCTGGGTGGGTCCTCCTGATGTGAGGCCCAGCTCCCTTGAGTCTGCTCCACACAGGGTCCCCAGAGACTTTGACCCAAGCCAAAGTTCCCTGTCATGCGGGGGGGGGGGGGTAATGCCTCTGCCCACCCCGTAGGAATCACCTGAGATGCTATCTATGCTTTGCCTTCCGTACTGTTGACCCCATTTATGGTGTTTTGCAACCATAAGAGTTGGGAGATTAAAAAGTGCCTGGCCGAGGACTTTGGATTCCAGCATGGTGTCCAGGCATTCTAGGCATTGGCCATTTTCCTTTACAATCGGCTGCCGTTCAGTAGCTGGTACTGTCTGGCAAGCCATGTGGACAGAATCCATGTTCTACAAGCAGGGCCGGGGGCCCACCCTGCCCCCTTGCTCTGTCTCGCAACACTAGCACACAGGCAGCTTCTGGAATGTTTGTGGTTACCGTTAGAATAGGATTTGGGTGAGAGGCCCTCATAAAGGAAGCCACAGATATGCCCTGGGCTCAGACTGGCTAGCATGTGTCTGGCTGCAGATGGACATGCCCACCCCTCACCCCATTGGTGCAGAAAGACTGGACCATGACCCCTCAGCCAGTTTGACTGGCTGGCTCTGCTTAGTCATGACCCCAGGAATAGACCCTTGTTATGTCTATTGCAGGACCCTCCTGGGGATGCTAAAATGGGGCGGGTTTCAAAGGGATGCCCTGTGGGTGTCCAAAGTAACCCCATATTATGGGAGACTGATCCATGTCCCAAAAGCCAGGCCAAGACCCACAAGCTGCCTTCTTGCTCCATCCCAGATGGTACACAGGGCAGAATTCTTGTCTGTCCCCATTGTTAGGCCCCATGGCTCGCTCGCTATGTGACTCGATTCTACCCGCATCCGTGACATGGTATCCAGAGGGTAGCTCCATACTCAGCAGACCTGGCTGTTCTCCACCATCTCAGCCTGCACAGCCACCCACCTGGGGACCGCATGGCAGCACCCTCAGTCCCCAGGAGAGCACTGCTAAATAGGCCGCTTACACTCTGATGGTTCCTTTGTCCCTGTCAGGTGCTGGTGAGACATGTCTGTCTACCTGAGCAGATTCCAGACAGTAGAGCAGAGCCTGAGGTGTGAGCCACTTGCTGGTTCCTCCGGGGTACCATGAGTCTGTCAGAAAGGCTTGGTGCAGCTCAACCCATTGGGCAAATGTGTTCTAGGTGCAAGCAAGGTAGGAGGCAGGAGTCTCCTGGCATGCTCATGTGGGAGGCAGCTGGCACGGGGTATCTGAAGACCTCGCCATCTTCCATGGGTCTCTCCCACTGTTCTGAACGGGTCCCCACAGCTAAGGCTGCTAGGGCCAGTCTTCCTTAGCCTTCCCTGGATGGGCTGAGCCAGCCCTCCCTCCCTCCCTCTCCCTCCCTCCCACCTTTCCTTCCTTTCTGTGGTTCTGGAGGTTGAGCCTCATGTGTGCAGGCTAGCGTGAGCTACTAAGTGACATCTCCAATGCTCTTTCTTTCTACTCTTTCTGAGACCAGGCTGACTCTGAACTTACTCTGTAGCCCAGGCTGACTTGAAGGTTTCTTCTTTCCTGGAATTCACTTTGAGATCCGCCGCTGCCCAGCTCTGTCTTAAAAGTTTCAATCCTCCTGTCTCCACCTCCCAAGCTGCACCAGCCGGTCTGTGCCCCTGCATCCCTGTCTCCTTTTGGAAAGGGACCTGCCACACCAGCCACATCTCCCTCCCGACTGGTGACCTCGGCTCCCTGCCACACCCCCAGCAGAAAGCGTGGAGGGGTGTGGGGGTGGGCACGCCTGAGTAGCTGCCCACCCGCCTCACAACACCCTGTCCCCACAGCCTGTTTGACATGGGTGGAGAGTACTACTGCTTTGCTTCTGACATCACCTGCTCCTTCCCTGCCAATGGCAAGTTCACGGAGGACCAGAAGGCCATCTACGAGGCGGTGTTGAAGAGCTGCAGAGCGGTGATGAGCACAATGAAGCCAGGTGAGGGCATGCTGACAACCTGCCTGGCAGCCAGGGCGGGGATGGGGCACTGACAGCCGCCGCCGGGAAGCAGGCCCCGAGGGCTGTCTACATCCACGCCACATGCTTGGCCAATTAGATTCCAGGTGGTATGAGACACCACGCCCCCCCCCACGAGCACCCAATGGACACCGGGCTGACCACACGAGGGACAGAGCTGGATCTGCAAGTTCAACCCCTTGTGTCCCCATGTCCCATCCAGCCCCATCTCCTCCACGCACACTGGTCACTGGGGCATCAGCACTTCCCCTGCCCTGACCAAAACAGAGTCCACTTGAGGGAGGCCCAGGCCAGCTTTGCATACTGGCCCAGAGCAAGCTCTAACTTCACTGAGGCCGCCTCGACCTTGAGTCCTGAAGCTCCCCCTCGGGATTGTGTTTTTGTCTATGCACGGGGAGGCAGCACCCTGTAGGAGCTAAGCTGCAAGGTTTTCTACCTTTCTGCGCCTGAGACCGCCAAGCATGAATTAGTCACCTGTTGTGGTCACTGTCCTGCTGCAGTGGTGGCACTGGGCCTGGTGTTCTCTCCATGCAAGCAGCTGTCCCCACTTCTCTGTATGGCCACTGCCTGGGTCTTTCCCACACGGTGTCACACAACCTAGAGTCCCCACGGCATCCCACTGCACGGCAGATCTCTACAGGGGAAACATGGAGACCAGCTCTTCAGCCTTTCTTCCGGGACCTTCAGGGCCTCCTATTCCTAGGCCAGCCACTGACCGTGCTCCCTATGAGTCCACCCTCCTCCCTGGCCGTAGTGCTGAGCCACAGCTCTGGCTAGTAGCATAGGGAGTCCCGTCTTGTACAGCACCTAAATGGGAGCATTTAGGGCTATGTGTGGTTCTGCTGAATCTCACTCTGAGCCCACCCTGTGGGTTTTGGGTTCCTTACATCCTGAACACAGCTTTCAGGTGACAGTTACACCACCCCCCTCCCCGGATGACTCCAGACCGGGCCCTCTATGGACACATGGCTCCTGGGCACCATCTAAAAGTCTGTTCGCTGCAGCCAGGCTCCATCTGGCCATGGGGCAGCTTTCCCTGCCTGTCGCCTGGTGATCCAGCCACACCACCCCTGGCACAGATGTCCCTGCCTGTAAGCAGCAGTCCTCACCAGCGGGGTTAGGTCACTCAGGCTCAGAGACTGGCTTGCCCTGGTCATTCTTCATGTGAAGCCCCCATAAGGGCTAAGGGTGAGGTCTTGTGATGCTAGCTCAGTGTTGACCTATCCAACCCCCAGTTCTCGGCCCCCACCTACCTCTCTCATCCCAAAGAAGCAGCTGCCCCCCTGGCAGCCCAGGCCTTTCCTAGAACCCTGGAGTCTCCCTACACCATGTGGGGACCACTATACAGAAGGCAACAACACAGGGGTCCAAAGCATCCAGAATGCAGGCCCTGCGCCCAGCCCAGCAGCATGCTGGTTGCAAGCCTGGCTCCCGCCTGCAGATTCTTTGTACTCCAACTGGCCCCGGGAAATCCCCAAGCTCCCAGAGTCCATCAGCCGGCTCTGGTCCCTGGTGTCCACACATCCACACTCAAGGGCCTGCCACCCCACTCTCCTGTGATCTGGAGGTCACAGCAGCTTAGGGGGCTGTGGTGGGTCATGGGAGGCCTGAAAACTGGATTTCTGAAGTATTTCTAAGGACTCTGGTGGCCAGATTTGCACATCTCCATGGTTCCTTGATTTAAAAAAAAAAAGAAAGAAAGAAAAAGAAAACAGATGATCTTGGTCTCCAGAATGTGAAAGCCCCAGGATGTGGCATGCTGCGGCCCCAGAACTTGCTGGTTCAGCATTTGGATAAACAGTCCCCTGTGGCCCCATGGCCCATTGTCGGAATGATTTACATTGTGATCTCAGGGCCCAGTTCAGTAGTGGAGGGACCTCAATATTGGTCATTTTCAGAAGAGGCTTGCTGAGAACAGCCACAGTCTAGCCTAGGCGCTCCCTCCCACCAAAGGCCAGGAGCTGCATGGGGGTGTGGCTGCAGCTGGACCCTCAACCCTACAGCCTGGTACCCTCGCTCAGCATGGAGGACCAGAGCCTGACAGATGGAGCAGGAAAATTGGACAGTAAACCCTTCCTTAGAGCAGCAGTACTGACTGCTCACCTGGGCGGCTGAGGAGCTCAGCAGCCCCAAAAGCCACAGTGCCTCTGAGCATTAGACAAGGCAATGTCGGCATGAGGAAGTCAGACCCACACAGGGCAGTGTGGCCCTCCGGTCCCTTGGAGTCAGGGGGCAGTGGGAGAACCTGGACTCCCCAGGTCTGTGATGGAGCCGTTGTGGGGAGCAGAAGCTGGAGAGGATTGTCTGCTGTGCCCCTTTAGAAATGAAATCAGCAGAGCAGCCACCAAAGGGGCACACCACAGACGGATGCTTTTGCTCATTTTGAACCTTATGTCATTTAAGTGATCGACATCTCAAAGTGTGCAGTTCTGGCTGAGAAGGTGTTGTCTCCCATGATGTGTACTGCCGCCCCACCAAGAAACTGGGCCATCTTCCCCCCGAGGACCCTCCACTGGGCAAAGCCCCTGTGATAAGCTGAGGTCCCTGCCATCCAGTGTCTGTGATGCTGACCTCAAGCCATTCTCTGCAGACAGCTTGGTCACTGTGTGGGTTGAGCTGGCGGTGACCCCATCACATTGGGTAGTATCTTCAGAGCTCTCTGGGCGGCAGTGGAACGCAGGTGTTGGGCCAGAAATAGCTCTTCCCACTGGTCAAAGCCGAGCTTACTGTGTAAGAGCCCCAAGGCCAACCTCAGCCCAGCTGCCCTCCTGTGTCATGATGATGAAGACGCAGTAGTCGTCATGAGAACACGGAGGGAGCCCCGTGAACCCCCCTCCCCCCTCCACACAAGGAAGAAGGGCCTGGGATTGCCTGTCATGTGCCACACGATGCAGGCTGGCAGAGGGGCTAGACCCTCAAAGAGGAGTGGAGGCGAGGCGAGCACATCGGAGAGGGCGCCTGCTTGTCAACATGTCGGTGTCTCTCCACCTGCTCACCTGAGAGCGCCAAGCTTTCATTCTTCCATGCTACCCGAGTCTTGGCACTGCAGTCTGTTGGCACTGGACATTACCACCACAGTTAGTAGTTTGGCCAACACAGAGCCCACTCCAGTTGTCCAGAAAGTGGCCATGCTTTCAAAGCTGCTCCCTACTTTGTATTCAGGGAGGCCTTTGGCTGGATGTCCACACCCACCTGGTCACCTTTCCTGTGGACTACTTGGGGCACCCACTAGGCTGGAACATCCAGGTCCAGCTCCTCTGAGTACACCCCTGCAGACCACATGAGGCAGGGCCCCCTAAAGTTGGACTCCGTCAATGCTGGACTCACCAGGTGGCCCAGGTGAGTCCATGCTGGTGGCGTGAAGACTCATTGTGGGAGGGTGGAACAGAGCTCCAGCTGTTTCCCATAGATTATGACGCGGAGTGTCCACCAGGACAGAGCTAGACTGTCTGGTCACGCAGTGTACACTGGCCTCCAGGGTTCAGAGTCCTGGGTTCACAGAGTGCTGCTCAGCAGAGGGACGGATCGCCTCACCATCGTGAATTGGCAGTGGCTAGCCAGCCCCCTGCCCATCTCAGTGGAACTGCCCCTGGTTTGTGGGTTTAGCTTCTGAGCCAAGACAAACGCCCTGCTGAGACTGCCCGGCTGCTTCCTGAGACCTTCCTAGGGAGAGTAAATAAAGACAGGCAGGAAATCACACAACGACGCCCAGGGGAAAGGCAGGAACCAGAATGATCAGAACCATGGACCAGCAGCTGCAGCCCCGGGGGATTGAAGAATGCAGGCCTTGGCTCCTTGTCCTGGGCCGAAAGGAGGAGCTGCCTCTGTCGCTCAGACAGCAAGGGTGGGGGTGAGCTTTGCCAGGGAGGTCCCTGGAGAGTGCGGGAGTGGGCAGGCTGGGCTAGCACCTGGAAGAACACTGCCCACCAGTGCTGGCTACTGGCTGGATACAGTCCAAGTTCTGAGTGGCTTTGACTGCCCACTTTGGGGCCGAAGGCGTGTGCCACCACACCTAGCTGAGTCTTGAAGTTTCAGCCCTGCCAGGCCTCAGTGGCTCTGTCACCTCCCAGGACCACCATCTCGCCTTATCCTGCCCAGCCACACCCTGCTCCACACAACACCCAGGGCTGCTGTTGGTGATGGCTGCCGTGGTCCTAACTGTGTGATCCAGCCCTGTCCCTCCGGCTCTCATCCCGGCTCAGGCTCCTGCCATTTGTGGGGTGGGGTTGGGAGGCCTTGTTGGGGCAGAGAGAGGTAGGGTAGCAGCATAAAACCAGAGGGGCTGGCTGTTCCCAGCGTAAGCCTGAGGGGATCGTAGTTGATGATCAGGTGGGGTAGGGAGGGGCATAGGGCAGTGTCCACAACAGCTGACCTCATGGCTTCTGCTGAGCTGGGTGTGGAGAGGGGGCTCACCCTCCCTGGCCCCCTCCTACCCTGACAGTCAGCGGGAGGATGAAGTAGCTAGATTTCCTATTAGCCCTGCCCTTAGAGATGGTGAGGGATATGGGGGTTGTGCTATCAGCGACACAGGGACCTCATGTCACCCTGTGCTGCCCTTTGCCAGACCCGGGAGAGCTATCTTGGGTCCAGTGTCCACCACTCACACTGGTTGCAGAATGAGGGCAAGTCCCCTGCTCTCCCTGCCTAGCTCCAAGCTTTTGCGTGGGTGCTCCCAGTGTGGAGAGAAGAGCGTCAGGAAGTGTGTGCATGATGGCTCCGCCTCCGCTTCATCAGCAGCATCAAGGCGCCTACAGCCTGGACACATGCTGCTTCCTGCCCCTCTGAAGGGTGAATGAGTCCCCAAGGTCCCGAATGAGACACTGCAGGGTGGGCTGGGCTAGAGGCCCCGGGCCTGATGCCAGCTTGGCCTGCCATGCAGCTAGCTCACTGCACAGCTCCCAGGGCCTGCCCTGAGACCCGGACTTTATGCCTTTGCTCCCACAGCCCACAGGCCTGGCTCCCACATCAACCATCCCGTGAGGGCCATTGTCCGCTTATGAAGTGAGCTCTTTGTCTGACCAAGTAGCCAGGGGGTGGGTGAGGGGGATCTGCTGCCTTCCTGGCTTGGCTGGGGAGCCCCCCAGGGCTGTCACACTCTGGGCAGGGAGCCTGGGGCTGTGATGGATGCTGCTCTAAGAGGCCTCCCTGGCTCCAGCAGCAGCAGGCTCCAGGCCCATTGGAGTGCTAGTAAGCGAGGCCAGGTAGAGCAGGGAGCCAGCAGGAACCCATCCTGGAGCCTGGGCATGGGAACTGTCACCTCTCTGAGCTCTTGTCATTAAGTAGGTGCTAACCTCTAGGATACTCGTCCCACCCTGGGCTGAGTGGAGTGCAGGCCACTCATGAATCCAGGACTGCATTTCCAGGACTGGCTGCAGAAGAGTCATGGGGGATGCCCGCACTTTGCTTACTCCTCACTTAGCAAGTGCCAGGCACAGAGCAAGGCTGGAACCCTGCCCTCTGAGGCCCGGGCTATGCCACTGCGCTGTGCTGTCGTGATTGGCTCTGGTAGGCCAGGAAGGTACAATCTGAGAAGACTCCCTGAAGAAAGTCTCTCGGAGGCCCAAGATGAGGAGGAATAGGGGCTTGGAGAGGCATCTCGGCCACAGGGCACTGCAGGTGGGAAGCACACAGGGAGATAGGTGAGACCACCGGAGGGATGTGGCTTGTCAACTGTCACCCTGGTCTAGCTGCTCCCCCAGGAGTGGGGAATAAGATGTCACTACCATGGCCCACCAGTCTCCCCCATGGCCTCTGAGCAATATCCAGGGCTTCTGTGGAAGGAGAGTGGGTAGGGACCCAGGGATAATGCTGTTTCCAGAAAGCCAGGGTGAAACTCAGCAACATAAATGGGATGAGGTAGGAGAGCAAGGCAACATTCACCTAACCCGTACAGGGTACTTCAGTGTCTAGTATGGGCCTGCTGGGGATCCAGGGATGTCTCCCAGCTCAGGGCCTGGGCCTTTGGGGTGCCTACGGCTGCAAAGGTGGGAGGAGCCCAGGAGTGGTGTGTGCCCAGGCTCAGCCTCGCCAGAGGCCAAGTCACTGGAGGGCTAATCACAGTCACAACCTAACCACACACAGGCAGAAAGGAAGCCCCCACGTACAGCCAAGAGCTGTGCCTTCATCTGAGGGTGTACAGGCATGGAAGGTGGAGCGTCACGGGGACTCGGGCCCAGCTTGGCCGGGGGCCAGTAGCTGCCCAGGAGCCACCACGAAGCTTGGGGGTCTACCTGATGCTCAGCCATGCCTGCGGGCCCACCATTGAAATCAGCCAGGCTGGGAGGTTGGAGCCAGCCACTCCTGGGCCTCTCCTTTGGTGACAAAGGAAGGACCCCATTCAGGGCCAACTTTGTCCAAGTTCCCTGTGCTGGGCTGACTGGAGGCTGAGTGAGCACAGCTCACGGACCTGGGGGCCACACTTTCTGCCAATGTTATTGGTGTTATGGCGAATACCACTGTCCTGGTAGAGATACATGAGAAGCAACTAAGCAGATGTGTCAGAGTGTGCCAGGAGCAGCATGGGGGTGGGGATGTAAAGAGGGAGGCAACTTTGATGCTGGGGACACCCTGAAAGCATAGCTTGTGTGCTTCTGGAACAGGGGGTAACCCGGTCTCTGGTAGAGGAGGACAGAGCTATCCAGGACTGGTCGCTTGTGTCTTGGGGAAGAGCAGCAGCCAGAGGCAGGGCTGACCTGACCCACACAACTAGAGCACTGTGGCCAGAATGCTGAAGTCAGGTTCTGGCTGGCCCTAAGTGGTGGATCATTGGTGGCCGGTGCTGGGGATGCAAGGCTAGCCATAGCCAGCCTTCTGGGCCAGCTTTGTGGCTCTGGGGCAGATGCAGCACCTGCAGGTCAGGGAATCGGGACAGCTCGCTCAGGTCATATGAGTAACAGCTGAAATCCCATTCCCCAGCCCCCGCTTCTGATTCCAGGCAACAATAACCAGATGCTCCCCAGGCTTGCCCAGTCGCAGATTCTAGAACCTAGAAGGCTGGCTCCACCTCAGAGCCAGACCTCCCACCTCCACAATATACACCTTGGGCCGTGGGTCCCACGGCACCCTATGAGCTAGCCTTGCGCCTCATCACCTGTGCAAGACCCTGCACCTACAGCCTTGCTGGGGGCCATCTCTAGCAAGGAAGGGGATCCTTGCCAGTTTCCTATTGGCTATGGAGGCTCAGCAGTCTGGGCTTCCAAGCCTGGCCCTTTCTGGTTCATTATCCTATAGACCTTCCTGATGCTGTGACCTTTTAATACAGTTCCTCATTTGTGGTGACCCCCAACCATAAGATTATTTTTGTTGCTACTTCATAACTTATTTTGCCACTGTTATGAATCGTAATGAACATCTGATGAGACCCTCGTGAAAGGGTTGACCCCCAGAGGGATTGTGACTGGCAGGTTGAGAGCCGCTGCTGTAGAGTGGATTCCCACCCTTCCTTCTTACAGCATTGCTCATCCAGGGGTGAGGTGATGTGGCAGCAGGTCAGACTGAGCCAGAGTAGGACATGGCTGGGAGGCCTCTGGGGTTGACATTCCATCCACGGGGCTGAAATTGACTGGGAGGGCAATGCTGTCATTGCCCCTCTGACCAGTGCACCGCTGTGACTTACCCTCGGCCTTTATGGGGTCAGGGCTGAGGACTACCCTGTGCCCAGGTCCTTGTCTGGTGGACTCCCTGGAGATCGCCATAGCGGGCAAGGCGGTCCCTGGTGCTGTTTGAGGCCCTATTAGTCGGAGTAGTGATGGCCGACCTGTCCTTAAGCTGCAGCCCACGGAACCCATCCGGCCCCTGACTGTGTACGTGGGAGGTGTCTTGGGTATGATGAAGCACCCCCAAAGCAACTTCACCAGAAATCAGATTATTTGGCATATATAACAGCTCGAGGCAGGAGCTGATGCAGAGACCACGGAGGGGAGCTGCTTACTGGCTTGCTTACTATGGCTTGCTCAACCTGCTTTCTTATAGAACCCAGGGCCATCAGCCCAGGGATGGCCCCACCCACAACAGGCTGGGCCCCCTCCCCCACCCATCACGAATTAAGAAAGGCCCTACAAGCTCACCTACAACATGACCTTATGTAGGCATTTTCTTGATTGAGGCTCTCTCCTGTCAAATAACTAGCCTGTGCCAAGTTGGCACAAAACTAGCCAGCACAGTAGGCTCTCCACAGTGACCTTTGCCCCAGAAACATGGGCAGAGATGAGTTTGATCAGCAGCCTGGGCTTAGACATCCAGACAACCATAGAAATGGTTCCAGACCCCTGCCCACCAGCGGGTGAGGCCACACCAGCTGTCCCTTCACCCAGAAACCTTTGCTCCCACAGCAGCTTCCAGACTGAGTCAGTCATCCTGGGGTGTGCAGGGATGCCTTCTCCCAGGCCTCAGGCACATCTGAAGCCTCCTGTGGGACCTTAGCAGACACAACCAGGCCCCTGGCTTTGGCCGGCAGAAGCTTGATCCTGCAGTATGATGATGCGCAGTCTGGGCTACACACTCAGTCCCGTGTGCCCGTCCTCACCCCTTGGTCTGTAGAGCGCTGCCTTACCGTGGCCTCTCCTTCAACCGTAGGTGTCTGGTGGCCTGACATGCACCGGCTGGCTGACCGTATCCACCTGGAGGAACTGACACGCATCGGCCTCCTGCGTGGCAGTGTGGACGCCATGCTCCAAGTCCACCTGGGAGCAGTGTTCATGCCACATGGGCTTGGCCACTTCCTGGGGCTCGATGTGCACGACGTGGGAGGCTACCCTGAGGTCAGTGTGCACGCTGGCCTCCCTGCGCCTGGCCCTTCCTGGGGTAGAGTAAAACAGGAGGGGTGGGGTCTCCCTGTGACACACAGGAAGTGGGGTGCTGGACGGGGGTGGGTCAGTGAGTGGACTTCCCAGTGGCTGCACAGGCTTCAGGCTTGGAGGTGGGTGCCTCTACTTACAAGGCCTCAGGACACACACTGTGTGTAGTGTCTGTCTGTGCAAAGGTTCCCCAAAAGACCATGGAACTGAAGCCAGGGTTCAGGGCTACACCAAACCCTGCATGTCCTTCATTGGCACCGTCTTCAGCCCTTAGCTCAGCAGCAGAGCCAGCCTTTCCAGCTCCCTGGCTGCCTCACGCTCTGCCTCCCGGGCCACTGGCAGGAGAGCAAGGCTTGAAGGGCATCTTCACACTGGGCTCCTTCGCCTTCTCTTACTGCCAGCTCTCCAAGGACCACCCAGTGGGCGCCTGAGGGCTCCTGGGAAGCCCTGCTGGGCAGGTGGCTACAGCCCCTCAGGGCCTGTTCCTGCTGCCCAGCCTGGCCTGCTGCCCACCGTGCAGGGGGCAGGTTGTGCAACTGGTGCACACCCTGGGCCCCCCCCCCCAGCCAGTTAGCCAAGCCTGGACCCGGCCTCTTGGCTGTGGGGTATTTTGAAAGCACTGAGAATGATTTGGGGGGAGGGGAGGATTGCTCAAGAGAAGCATTATTATTCAATTATTTTTTTTCTCAAGTGTAAACAGTTAAATTTGGAGAAACAAAATCAGTTTTAATTTCCTAATTTCTGTCCATCCTATTGTGTGCAGGGAGCCAAGAGCAGGCCCTTCCAGTCATTGTTAGTTGAGGTTCGTTATTCATTAGTCGCCAAAGTCCTTTTTTCCACCAAAGAAAATTGGCAGCAAAGTGTTTTCATCTTTTCCAGTAAGCAGCCCTTTGTGCTCCGTCTATTCTTCTGACAGATAAACACTGTGGAAAAATATGGCTTTTCCTATAAAAGTCATTTGTTTTATTTCAAGCCTACAGACACATCTGGGTCTCTCCTCAGGGTCCAGTACAAGCTGAGGCCCACTCAGCCCACTGCCCAGGCAGAGCAGCAGGCAGGGACACCCCTAGCATAGCTGGCATCCCCATCCTTGGCCTGTGGGTCACTTGGACCGGCTCGCCAGCCTCCTCTAAGCTAGGTCTGTTGGAGGCAGCCTGTAACTCCCACCCCAGCAGACCTAAGAGCAGCAGCTCCGAAGGAGTGTTGGCTCGCACAGGTATATCCTTTAGCCCTCACTGCAAATCCTTCAGCCTCCCCTAAACCCAAGAGATGTGACCTAGTCAGGCCCTGGCCCTCAACAGGCTTTCACAGCCATGGCGTAGAGAAGAGACAAGCACTCAGGACATAGCAGAAGGTCCAGGCTTTCAGTGGCAACTGGAATGTTCTGGAGCAAAAGCCTGGCACAGACAGGAAGCAGGCTCCTCCCCTTGACAGAAGCACCTGAGCTGAGGCCTGGGGCCTTCTGAGGAGCATCCTCCTCCTCCACAGCCTCCACGCTTGCTGGTCCAGAGACAAGTGTTACAAGGCTGATGATAACCAGCCAGGGTTCTTCCAGAGCATGGCCCACACGACACATGGCACTTTATGTCCCCCATCACCTGGCCTGCTCACACCAGGTCCTAGTGGCTGTCCCTACCCTCACAGAATCTCAGTCATGGCCATTCGATGTGCCCAGCCCTGGAGGCCAAGCCTGTTTCTGGTTACCTTATGTGAACCGCTAATTGAAGTCTGATGTTCTTGGCCCCCAAACAGTCAGAAACGACAGCTCGGTCTCCAGCAGCTGGGCGTCCTTGGAAGAGCCGCAAGTGGGGCAGGGCAAACTCAGACAGACCCTGACCACAACGGCTTTTTTGCTGCCCACTTACTCAGAGGCCCTGGGCATCAGCCAGACCAGTGCCCTGGGGAGCTGGAGGAGCAGGGCACACCTCAGCAGCAAGCTATCGTCACCAGCACCCTCCATGGTCACAGGGCTGTTTCCCAGGGCCCGGTGTAGGCTAGAGAGAAGCGGGTACTTACATGCCAGCGCTGGCGGGAACAGGCCCATCCTGATGACAGCACCTGTCCCTTCCTCTATTGAAAAGGCTGACTTGGCCTGCAGGAGCCAGGACCCGTCCAGTTTCCACTTGAGCTGCCTGCAAGAAAAGACCAGGAAGGCCCTGCAGGCCAGGCAACCCCCTAAGAGCTTTTTTGGCTTCCCTGGTTTGGCTTCTGACCTGCAGAAGGGCCTGAGTGAGGGCAGCCAGACACCCAGCCAGCCCCATGGGCCTACTTGGCAGCTTGCACTGCATATGTGTGCATCATCCATGTCCAGAAGGTAGATCTGTTGGCAGCCAGGGTCAAAATGCCCTGGATACAGGTGTGCAGAGAGGGCAGGTTCCTGTGGTTAGACTGCTGGATACACTCTGGTGGTGGTGGGGGGGGGGGGACCCGGGGGCTGGAGCCAATCCTGTGTGGCTGCCTCTCAATGAGGCAGTGGCCCTGGCAGCCAGCCTTGGGGTGTTCAGTTGGGTTCCCCTAGCCTTCTCTCTCCACAGGGTGTAGAGCGTATCGATGAGCCTGGCTTGCGGAGCCTGCGCACAGCAAGGCGTCTGGAGCCAGGCATGGTGCTGACTGTGGAGCCGGGAATCTATTTCATTGACCACCTCTTGGACCAGGCCCTGGCAGACCCAGCCCAAGCCTGCTTCTTTAACCATGAGGTCCTGCAGCGCTTCCGAACCTTTGGTGGGGTGAGTACCTGGGGGCCCCACACTTATCCCCAGAATGTTCACCACCCCACTGTTCCCTTGGGGAAAGGTGGAAGGACTCCTGCCTGGGTTTAAGGCCTAGCCAGCCCTCTTACATGAGCAGATGCCAGACAGATACCTTGCCTCTCAGCAGGAAGATTCTTCAGAATGCCCACCAGTCCCAGCGGGTCCGTGAGAGCACAGTACAAGCAGAAAGGGCCCCCTCTATGTCCTCCCCAGAGGCCGAGACCAGTCTGTCTGGTCAAAGACTAATCCCATCCCTCAGAAAGCTTCTCCCAGGTGGCACAGTCAGACTGGACTGGGCTGGCACCACTAATGTGACTAATGGAGCCAGCATGGTCATAATGGCACCCTGTCTGTGTGGCGCAGGTCCGGATCGAGGAGGACGTTGTGGTGACTAACAGTGGCATGGAACTGCTGACCTGTGTACCTCGGACCGTGGAGGAAATTGAAGCATGCATGGCAGGCTGTGACAAGGCCTTCACGCCCTCCTCTGGCCCCAAGTAGAGCCAGCTGTGGTGTGCGTCTGCCCACAGCACCCCAACAGCAAGAGGCAGCGCTCAACAAAGCAGATCCTGAAGCTCACGTTAGATTCTTCCAGAACCATCACTGCCTTTCCAAGGGAGACTAGCATTAACCTGCAAGATCACATCCCTAACCTTGACTTTGCTTAAATGACTGACTGCGTGATGATTGAAAAAAAATCTGTTAAGTCGCAACTCAATTCTCTTGATGCCATTTATATCCATGTGCTCAGGAAAGATGCACTTATGCCTGTCTTCTCCAAATAAAAATCAATAAGCAGAATGGAATTTGCAATAAAAGCTTTTCTAAAATGGCCCTTTGTATCCAGCTTCCTCTTTACTCCTTCACAGGACAGAGAGCGCGTGGGGGGCTGTGGCCAGAGATGATGGCTCACCCAGTGTCAGCCCTGTGCTCTCTGCTTCTGCCTTGGACTGGCCTGGGAGAACCAGGAAGTCTTCCACCAAGAGCTTCCACTGCCAAAGTTAGCGTGACAGTCACCTGCTGCCAGGGTTCCCCAGCAAACAGGCACCAGAACCGCTAGGGCATTTGCTAAGTTCTGGAGTCTTGATTTCACTTTTATACTAATCAAGATAGAGCATGTCAGCCAGCAACAGTGTGGCATAGGAGGGTGCCTGTCTGTGGCACCATCATCTCCCAACAGAAATCTACTGACCCAATTCCATCACAAGGCTATAAGCCATGTGGGGCCCAGCTGTGCCCATGGGGGACCACTTGTCCTCTCTGCCACACCCCCAGAGCCTGCTTCCAAAACTAATAGTCCCAGGTGGCACATGAGAAAGGTTCTACCACAGTGTGGCTCAGTAAGGTCCCTCCCTAACACTGCCATGCCTGTCATCCCACGACTAGGAGGCTGGAGGAGGACCAAGAATCCAAGCCTTGGCTACACACTAAATTTAAGACCAGTCTGGGACCTGGGACCCTATCTCAAAGCAGACGCAGACCAATCTCTGTTGCATTCCAGGCCAGCTGAAACTATAGAGACCCAAAATAAATACAATAAAATGGAACTGTTGTAGTGGAGAGAAAGAACTGGTCCAAGCTCAAGGTTTCAAGCAGCCACCAAAGACTTTAGTTACTAGAAACTGGCTACTTCTTCCTATGACAAAAACACAAAAGTGCTTATGATGTGGCCACAAGAAATAAAAGACACCATAAACGAATGCCAATCTCAATCCCAAAGCACCATTTCTCATTGACTTCTTAGGTTTGCAGCACCCAATCTTAGGGGTTTTGCTGGTACACACGGGCCCATCCTTGGCTACCCACCAGAGACATGGCCGTCTGGATAAACATGAGCTCACTTTATCCCACACTCCTGAAGCTTCAAAAATGGATTAGAAACCGTTCCTGAAAGCTGTACAGTGCTAAGGCCTTCCCCACACTCTGGAAGGGCTGGCCCGGCATTAACTGAGATGAGCACAGTCCAGGATTGGCCTTGTACAAAGGCCTTGCAAGACTAAACCCACAAGGATCTGAAGTGAAAACCAGGAGCTGCTACAGAAAGAGCTGCCAAGAGGTGGAAGGGAGACAAAGGTGCCACATACCAAGACTAGGGACCAGAGAAGGTTCTGGACAGCATGATACACTGCCATCCGGGAAGAACCATGAGGATCAAGGCCATGCAGGAGATGAAGAGCTGGCTCCGAGCTGGACAGGACTGAGTGGTAGGGCCTGGAGCAGGCAGGTTCCAGGGGTACACAGCGGTCCAACTCCAACGGACTTCGTGCTATGAGGGAACCTGACAGCCACTAAGGGAGGGCTAAGAGTCGGGGATGGGACTTTTTTTTAAATGCAAAAGATAGTTATGAACTCTTCACACATGCACAGGCACTTTGAGAACTGGTCATTCTAAAAGTGTTTTTTATTAAGACCTGGTTTCATCACAAAGTATAAAAACTTCTAATACAAGTTATTAGAAATAAACTCCAACTAGAACGGGAGATTATAGCTCAGTTGGTAGAGTACTCGCCTAGCATACACAAAGCCCCAGCTTCAATTCAAGCCCTAGTGTCACACAAAATCTAGATGTTGTGGTACATGCCTGTAATCACAGCACTTCAGAGGTAGAGACAGGAAGACATTCGAAGTCATACGTGGCTACATATCAAGCTGAAGGCCAACCTTGGCTACACTGGGAACTTCTCAACTAAAACTAAAAACAAAAATTCATAACTAATTCAAACAAAGTAGGACAGAACACCAATAGAAATGATTACTCTGCTACAATATTTTTTGTTTTTCTGAGACAAGGTTTCTCTGTATAGCCCTGGCTGTTCTGGAACTCTGTAAACCAATCAGGCTGGCCTTGAACTCACAGATCTGCCTCTGCCTCCCCAGTGCTAGGATTAAAAGTGTTCACCACCACTGCCCAGCTTTTTTTTTTTTTTTTTTAAAACAAGGTCTCACTGGTATTCAAGATCCTTCATCCCTTCATCTCTGTAATACTGGATTACAAGTGTGCACCACTGCACTCAGCCTCACAATTTTCATGATCATGCAACAATTTGAAACTAAATTCCCCAAACACAAGACTCAAAGAACCAGAGGAAAGCATCTCATTCTCCCCCCTCCCCCTTAAAACACACAATTCAAACTGGTTTCTTGTACTCAGCTAATTCACTTCCATACCCAGGAAGCATCAAGATGCTATTGGTACTTTCAACTATATATACTGTTTGGGACAGGCTTCAGATGAAAAGCACAGGCTAGGAACCACCAGAAGGCAGCAGTCCCTTTCATATATGTCCCCTACTCCAGGATGAGTTTAAGTTAGACCAAACAACTACAAACAACGGAAGATGCACTCCAAGTTTAGAGAAAACTACTTCACTGTCTACTCAGGGAAATCCAAACTTGCACAAAAGCCCCCTGCTGGTCCGTGACAGCCACCCCACCCTCACCAGCCCAGCCCAGCCCAGGACAGCAGCAGGAGGTAAGGCTCTTTGGGGTCAATTTACAAGTGAATTTCTTGCTCACCTCCAAGATAGAGAAACCCACAAAGAAAACCAGTCATTGTTCCAAAGGTGTTTCTTTTATTTTTAAATTCGTTGAAAGAAATAAAATTATATTTAAAAAAATAGAGTAATCTCACAAACTGAAAGCCAGGAACAAAAAGAACAAGTTAGTATTTTTCCTGAGAGGCAGATGATTAGCTCTACGAAATCTTACCTAACCTGTCAAGCACACAGGTATCATTCCTATTTCTAAGGCGTCAGAAGCACTCTAGGTGCTACATGGGTTGTTCAGGCACAAAGCTTCAGGCCTCCAGTGGGGGAGGGAGGGGGAGGTTCAGAAACATCAAAAGCTGCTGGGTTTTCTTTCTTATCGAACTGAACATGTTTCTACTTTCACAGATTGGGAAGTGTAAAAAAATGAGTGGACTCAAGACCTGGATTTCAAACCCTGGGTCACATTTGTAAAAATACTAAGATTCCAAAGTTATCTGTCACAGAGGGCCAGGCACAAAAGGGAAGCTAACCCTCCCTCTGCACCCATAACTAGTCAAAGGGCACCCATCCCGGGAGACAAAGCTTGACTCCTAAGCTACCGGACCTGTCCACAAGGCAGATCAAACTCTAAAGGTTCCCCAGGGACAAGTTACAAAAGCCACTTTACAATTTCCAAAGTCCCAGGCTTCCCCATTCCCCAAACATAGTTATCCTCAATTTTACACTGAGAAATCTATCAAGCTAAACATCATTTCCACTGTAGTAAGAAAGTCCGAAGTCCAGCTAACATTTGTGTTCTATGCAGAAGTGCTTGCTGGTGCTAAGGATCTGATTTACGAAGGTAAGGGCAGTTGGAACTGGTTTGTATGCACTGATTAGAAATATTGAGCACTGCCTCCCCTCAGCTTGTTTAAGTCCCTGCACCGGTAACCACTAATTCCACGAGAACTTCCATTTGTGAAAGCTGGTGCTTGGAAGTAGGAGTTTCCAATGTCTGAAGGTATTTCCAGATTCAAGTAGGACCTAATTCTATCTCCCATTAAGTTCTTTTCATAATATCAATCAGCTGATAAAGATGGCTATTCCAACCAAGGTAAACCGGTGCTGGACCCTAACTTTTAAAAACTCACTCATTTCTTGGTTCCCTAAGAACGGTGTCCACTCCTGTCTTCGGCACAGTGGCCCTAAAAGGCTTTGGAGAGCTGCAGGGCACCGGACAGCTTCTGCCCTGGAGAACAGAGTCCACACTCAAGGAGTAACCTGAGTTACACTGGGGTTACAGTAACTAAGTCTTAGCAGGAAACAGGGGCAGAAATGACCATGTTCAGACAAGATTCCAGGCAACACAATCTGTGATCATGCAAGACTCCTGTTTTAGTCACCATCTCAGGAACCAACGAATTTTAGCTGGGCACAGTGCAAAAACCACGAGTAACCAAGACAATCTAAACTACAACAATGATAAAAGCAGACCCTAGAGACACCTATCAGCTTTTCAGTTTCACAAAAAAAGTCAATATCCTGAGTTTCATCAGCATTTTCTCTCTAAAATAATTTATACAAAACATAAAAGCATACTAATGGATAAATGGAACATGAAGACACCCCACTAAACTAGAAAAGAAATTCCTCAAAAAAGAAATAAAAAGATTTAGGAAATAAATTAAAGATTGAAACCTTATACTTTCAAGTTTTAACTATTCTTTTGAGATGGCATGAAGTTGTTACATTTTTTCTAGTAATCATTTAGTAGAGATCAAATACCAAAATGTGCCTTTTCACAAATAAGCATTCACAAAAAACTATGTCTTTAAAAATCATGGCTCCGTTGCCAGTTATTCTGAACACAGCAGAAACCAAAAGAATCAGTATTCGTTTGTTTGTTTGTTTGTTTGTTTGTTTTTGAGACAAGGCTTCTCTGTGTAGCACTGGCTGTCCTGGAACTCATTCTGTAGAACAGACTGGCCTTGAACTCACAGATAGCTGCCTGCCTCTGCCTCCCGAGTGCTGGGGACTATAGGCGTGTGCTATCGTGCCCAGCATAAACTAGCATTCTAAATTATGGTCTATGACCAAAGCATTTTATTTACTAATTTGGCCATCAAAGAGAAAATGCCCCCCCAAACAAATGTTACTTTTACTAGCATCCACAGAAACGAAAATGTCAGTACACAGTAGACACTAATTTTTAGGACACAAGATAATGCTAATCCAATAAAGCAAAGGACCCCAAAGTTCAATCCCTCTCTCTATTTGCCCTTTAAAACAAACGAGGGGAAAAAAAAAAAAAAACAGAACACTTCTTTCCTTCCTAAATGCAATTTGTATTTTGAACCACCTCTCTGACATGACCTGAATGGGGTTTCTTTACTTTGCCTGAAGTCATCTTAAAAAACATGTACTTGTTGGGAAAAACAATGCCAATTATGCAAACACAAGTTTATACCAACTATAAAACGGGGCAAAATTATCATCATTGGTTTCTGAAGCCCTAGAATTTACAATACACAATTTAGACTAAAATCACAAATCCAGGAACAGACATGGAATTCAGTTTTTTTCTTAATCCAAGGTATTGTCTCATTAAAACCCAAAACCTTCTATATGACCTTCCATTTTCCCATTCCTAGAAAAGAAACATTTCTGGGAAAGTCAGGATTTATTAAGAATAGTAAGGTCCAGGAATTTTATTTTAACCATAAACCCTAAGTCTTCTTTTAGTGCTTCAAAGATCCATTATCATTAAGACCCGATAAATTACATGGCTAATCAACTGTTCAGTGCTGAGCTAGAAAATAACCTCCAATGGAACAAGACCAAGCTCAGCCAGTACACCAGCGGTGCAGGGTGGTCACACGTCTCACGTTCAAACCACACAGCCATGGCGTCTGGAAGGAGATCTACTGCCCTGTGTTATCAGAGTGTGTCGTGGTAGTTTCAGTGCTGATGGGCTGCACGTTGTCTGCGAGGTTGTGTGCATGCTCAAGAAACAAGTCTTTCAGTACACTCAACTCCTTTGTCAGCAACTTAATTTTGGCTTCCAACCGTTCATTCTCTTCTTTTAGCTGGTTCACTCTTTGCAGAGTATCCTGAGCTTTCTGCTTGCTTTTTAACCGGCTCTTTTTCACTGCCATATTGTTCCGCTCTCTGCGCTGGCGATATTCGTCACTATTCCGATCCATGGGTGAGCTCTTTTTGCTTTGCTTGCTTGGAGGCACAGCTTTGCCTCCTCCCCCAGGCCCAGCAGGCACCAGCTGAGGAACCTGCTGTAAGCCACTGGCATGTGCCTGAGTATGAATGACACTTATTCCGTTCACTCCTGGAGTAGTGGCTGGCTGCGACAGCTTGCTCATTTGGGCGAGTTCCTTTGCCAACACAGAACAGGTAGAAATCAAAGCAGTGTGATCAGCAGAGGCCACACTCAAGTGCCAAAAAATCTTCACATGTACCTAGTTAGAAAATAAGGTGCATTAAAATATTTGAAATGACAGGATCAAGTAAGATTAAACTTGCGTGGACCTAACACAGTAGGCAATCATTAATTGGTTTTGATGACACAAACAACTGCCAACTGTTGCAGTGCTTCCAAATTTCAAAAGGTAAGTTGGTTCAGAAGCTGAAGGCCAGCCCCGCCTGGGGCTGGTTGTGATTATCAAAAAGGAAAGGAAAAAAACAAAAGCATAGCACAAATTAGGTAGCACATGTGAGTTAATGCACTTGGACACTGCCAGGGAGAAATCTGAGCTGTGGAGCATGGAAAAGCAAGTTCAATTACTATAGGAGGGCGCCTGCAATGAGAGGGGGGCGTTTCCAGTCGGCTTAGAGTGCTAGAGCCCATGAGGGAGGCATCAGGGCGCCTCCTTATTCAATATTCCCAGGTGACTTAGCAGTGATGTTGTCACCTATTGTGGGCTATTTTTTTTTAAGGCAGGATACTTTCAATTGGTTAGTTGATTTGCCTTTTTACATTTTAGCAACCTTCAATGACAGTTTACTGAAATGTACTCAGTCGGTCTCTTGTGTTTGGGAACGGAGACATCCAATAAAGTACCCCATTCCAGCCTGTGTCCGTTAATCACTCGTGACACAATTGCCTAGCCCAGCAAACTTCTATCTCCAAAACAATATTTATATTACAATTCATAACAGTAGCAAAATTACAGTTAGGAAGTAGCAGTGAAAATAATTTTATGGTTGGGGGGGTCACCCAACATGAGGAGTTGTGAGGAAGGGTCACAGTGTTAGGAAGGTTGAGAACCACTGGCCTAAACATACTGATTCACAAAAGAAGAAACCAATGTTCTAATGATACAGCCAAGGCAAGCCAAGTACTGGAACCCAGGCTGGCAAGGACAACACAGCCACTGTTGGTACCCACTTCTCACTCAGAGCTCAGCAGACTCACTGAAGCACTTACTTTATGGAAAACTACTGAGACCTGACTGGCTGTCTATCACCTGTGAACAGTGACATGTGAAAGCACACCTACTCCATCCCCATGCCACTATAAACTCAACAGCTGAATCAACCGTGTCCACCTAGGAGACACAGACAGCACCCACCCTTCAAAGGGTAGAAAGCATTGTGACCCATCACACACCGCCCTGTTCTCTTCCCAGAACTACCAAAACAAGGACATCAATGGACAAAGTCAGGGAAGTTAACTAGAGTTAGGGAAATGCTCCAGTGATACACCCATGGTTATTAAGAAAAAGTCCAGTCAATAAACATCAACAGCTTCACCCAAACTTTAGCCAAGCTTCTTCAAGCATGCTTATTAAGTTGGCCTCTTATTATTTATTAATCTTTGCCTTTAAGTGTCCATATATCATTACTCTGAATAGTTTAAAAAGACTCTCAGTCAGCCCTGAGCAAGTGGGTCATCTGTTCTTACTCCAGCACACTAAAGCAAGACAGAAAGCTTCCTTCCAAGCCATGATGGATATGGCCTCGGAGTTACACTCAATAGCAAACATTTCACAATTTCTCATGAAAATGATTATGTGGCCTAATTAATTTTCCTCCCACTTAAAAGGTGGTTGTTCAAAATAAAGAAAGTAAACAAATTAATTAAAAAATTAAGTGGGTATTCAATATTAATTTAAGTCACCCTGGCTGCCATGTAACACTGTGGCTTATCAAGTTGGTATAATGTGTTTAATCCAATCTTAAGGACCTGCATAATTTAATACCTCTCCCCGTACTTTCTTATATTCTTATTCTTCAAAACTAACCTCTGTAGTTAATTTGTCCTAGTTCAAAGATAGCCAATGATCCAAAGTGCAGACTAGAAACCAGATCAAAGCTTTCCTTGGCTCTGGGCCCCTCATCTTCCCTTCTGTGAGCTTCAATTCCCCAGTCTGCACAAAAGGGATGTGGAAATGGTATGATGCCCCCACTGACAAAATACCATGAACTCTAGTCACTAACAACCTATTAAAAACAGGTTCCAAATTCAGGGATGTGCTACCTATTTCTGAACCGACCATAAAAGAATGGGGTAGGGTTCTAACCTTACTAAGGTGCTAACCAGAATAAAGTAGAAGTTCTGAGTAAGCTTTTTTGGCTAGAAAAACACAGACTATGATTTATCAAACCTACAAAATTACAAGAAAAAAGGAGAGAAAAGGCAATAAAAAGCAATTCACGATTGCTTAAAAAAGAAAAAAAAAAAAAATGTAGGATAGTGGTGCATGTCTTTAATGCCAGCCTTGGAAGGTATTGTCAGGTGGATCTTTGTGAGCTTTGAGGCTATAGAGCAAATTCCAAGATATCCAGGGCTATGTAGAGATCCTGTCCTTAAAAAAAAAAAAAAAAAAAAAAAAAAATGCCAGGCAATGGTTGGTGTCTGACTTTAATTCCAGCACTCAGGAAGCAGAGGCAGGCAGATCTCATTGAGTCCAAGGCCAGCCTGGTCTACAGAGCTAGTTCCAGGACAGCCAGGGCTACACAGAAATCCTGTCTTGGAAAACAAAGAGCAACCAAATCTTCAATCAGTAGACAAGCCAGAAAAGTAACTTAAAACGAAGAGAAAACCAGACAGAGGGTCAAGGAGCTAACTAAACAGGCTTCAAACAGCACTTCTGGTTTTACACTGAACAAAGACACTGTCATTTATGCTTTTTGTTCCTTCTGCAAACATTAGCTGAGCTTCACAAGAAAGCAGTCTGACGTTTAGTATCTGGACATTTAACCCTAAATCAAAGTCTGGCTCAAGGTTCAGTCCAAAGAAGCAGGGCAGTGCCTTCTTCCTTCTACTTGTCAGTCACCCAAACAACAGGAAAGCTGAGGTGAGGGGCAGCATCCCTCAAAGTGGTCCCTGGACCACAACAGCAACAACTTTTGCAAGTACCAATTCTCAGGCTGCCAGACTGAAGAACAAGTTCTGAATGTGGGCTTTCAGAGTCTCGTTTGTTAGGGGAGCTCCCAACATGCTTACTGTGACACTACCAATGGAGAACTGCATCATATATAAGCAATGAATCTTTTAAGAATGTGTAGCTAAATGAAATCAGTTAACAGATGTTTTTCAAATGCAAATTTAATTCAAGTAATATTCACTCAAAAGAATAAAACAATGGAACTCTGAAATGTTAGAATAGTAAAATAGAATTTTTCTCAATTTTTACTTGGAACAATAAACCTGTACAGAATATTTTTCCTGTCATTTTTTTTTTCCATAAACCTGGAACCACATATTTCCCCATCAGCCTCTCAAAATAAATTTTTCACTCAATTTCTTTAATGAAGGTTGAATCTTTAAATTTACAAACAAAAATATATCACATCTATTGTCCCTCTTAATGCCACAGAAATTACCTCAGGCTGACATCATATCTCAGGGGCCCTGGTCTCAGGTGAGCAGCCAGAGCTCAGTCCAACCACTCATTCACTATCTAGAGCAGTGGTTCTCCACCTTCCCAAAGCTGTACCCTTTAATACAGTTCATGCTGTGGAAATCCCCCAAACACACCATTTTTTCCTTGCCACTTTATAACTATAATTTTGCTACTGTTATGAATCATAATATAAATATCTGTTTTCTCATGGTCTTAGAGTAACCCGTGAAAGTTCTGGTTGTTTGACCTCCACAAGGCCTGAGACCCACAGGCTGAGTTGCTGATCTAGATATCTCCCACTCAAATCTAATTGTGTCACATCTTGCTCCTGAAAAAAAATCAATGCCTACGACTCCTAACCCTCTACAGTCCCTGCTCCCTTATGCTCAACTCAAGACCACTACACTACCAAGGGCCTCCCAAATGCCTGTATCTTCCCTTTGTGCTTTCTGTCCAATCTGCTCCCCCAGTGTCTCTGGCAACTCTAGCTTCAGTGTGTCTCCCTGGAGACCATTGGAGGCACAGCCCGTGAAGAGGAGAACACTCCTTCAAGGAGTTCTGTGAGTGGTCCACTGGAGGATGTCAAGAAAATGCTTGTTTCTTTGGATGTTACCCTTTTAACCTTTTCTAGCACATTCAAAACAAAAATGTTTAGAAATACACATTTATTAGGAGTTCCTGTTCAGGTTTTGGAGGCGTTTCCACCCCTCCCCACCCCCTTTAACAGCAGGGGAGGGGCACAGAGATAGGTAGGGAACCAATAAACTTTTTAGTGTAAGGAGGGAGACCTAGAATTGGCACAGCAGTCATTACTGTGCCTGGTGAGGCAACTTTGACTTGATACTATATCTGTTCCCATGACTTCAGGAGGGGATGTTCCCAGGGGCTTTCCTGGGGATCATTTAATGCACCCAGAATGGAAGCACCTCTCCAAGATCACAGAGCCTGGCTGACAATCATGCTTGTGAGAACTTAAAGGGCACTGGGGGAGGGGTGACATCTGTTCCCACCTATTTGTTTCTGATAGGTAATAAAAATAACTGAGCCAGTCAAGCATGTCCACCAGAGGCAGGAAACAGGCTCGAATTTTTCTTCAGCTCAATAGCATCCTGTAATTATTTAGTTTTTCAGAAACAGGGAAATAACCCCAGGGGCTGCTTCTCAAAATACTACTCAAGTGGCAGAAGACTTTAGAGCTCTTTGAAGGCTAGGGGTGTGGCTCAGGAGTAGAGGGGCTTGCCCACCATGCAATGAATTCTTCTATGTAGAATTCCTCTGTAAAGAAAACCCTTAAGGGGCTTCATTTCAAATTTTCCTCTGTGAAGACAGGTCTGCATTTAATGGTAATATAGTCAAATAAGGATTCAAGTGGGTGGAAACTGGGAGAGACAAGCCCCAGCGGTTTTACAACCCACAAAGGTTAAAACCTTTCTAAAATTGACACATCTTACAATGCGGCTTACGGAAAAACAAACAACCAAAAACAAAGCCCTTAAACAAGAGCAAAATTAAACACGCCAACCTTCCTAAGAGCAGAAATACAGAAGCGCACTTGGAAAGAGACCACCCTTCCCCTCACACATGCAAGCCCAACCTCTCTCCACCTGGATACCTCCGCTGGCTCTTTTCCCGCGTTCCCTCCAGCCGTGCTAAGGAAAGGCTTCATGGCTTGACCTCCTGCTTGTAGTGCACTGGTGGTGGATGCGCGACCTAGGGTGCCCTCCCCTCCCAGGGAACTGCAGAGCACGCCACCGTCCTCAAAACCAAAACGAAATAACCCTCTTGCGACCTTATGTGTTTAAAAATCGAGTGCTTTCCTTAGGTGGTCACCAGGATTAACAACTGCAAATAGGACCCGGGCACTTGCCCCCGGCCGAGCTGTTTGGGAAGCGACAGAAGAGTCCTAGGTGGCTCCAAAGTAAGATTCGGTCCACCTTCTATTCTAGGAACATCCTCCATCCCCAGGGGCCAAAGCGCGCCGGGCTTGTCACGCTGCACGTCGCAGGGGGCCGGATTCTGGAGGGGCCACCTGGTCCTCCATCCCTTCCCCGACTGCGGCGGGGGGCGCCGGGGGAGGGGCGCGGGGGTCGGCGCCAGGCGCGACGGCGCTGGGCCCGCGGCCAGGGATGAGCTCAACCCCGCCGGGTGTTGCCCGCAGGTTGCATCAGACGCCGCTCCGGGTCCCCGCCCGCGCCACCAGCCGCCAGGGGCCTTCCGGGCCAGCCTGCCGATTCGGGCAGGGCCGGGTCTCGTCGTGCCGGGCCGGCGCCTACGCGAGCGGCGGGCTCGGCCGCGGCCTCCTCCCCCGACCCCTCCGAGAGCGAGCCCGCGGCCTCCTTACCTGCGCCTCCGGCCGGCCCGCCCGCCCCCAGGCGGCCTGCACTCCGAGCGGCCCCGCGCGGCGCGGCCCGACCCGACCCAGGCCTCGCAGCCCGCGAGTCGGCGAGGAGGAGCGACGGTTACGAAACCGGCAGCCTCCGCCCGTTCCGCCACCGCGGCCACCACCGGCTTTCCCCTCCTCGTCAGGTCCGCGCGCTGCCGCCGCCGCCGTGACCAATAGAAGCGCCGGCCTGCGTGTGACGCGCGCGCCCCTCGAGACGGGCAGCGCCACCAGCCAATCACAGGCCGTGTGGCCGCGAGAGGCGGGCGCGGGGCGGGGCCAGAGGGCGTGGTGGGCGTGGCGGCACCGGCGGTGGCTGGAGGAGCGCTCCGTGGTTCTCCCTTAGGCTGCTGGCGCTGGCGGGCGGCGGCCCTGAGCTGTGGGAGTGACCTGTGGACAGGAAAGGTCTGAGTCTGAGGCTTGAAGAGACGGTCACCCTGTGAGGGCCTCACCTGCCTCTGGGAAGCGACATTTCCTGAGGTGGATTTTTGAGTGACTGAGTTTTGTGTTTAAGCCTTAGGGCTCTGAGACTTTTGCAAACTTTAATTTGACAGCAGCAAGTTAAGGAAAAGCTGCGTCCGGCGTAGGGTTAGCACACTTGTCACACTTGAGAACTGGAGACTGTGGCTCCCTGGCAAATCATGATTTCCAAAGTGAAGTGCTCGCCGCCGTGAGGACAGGTGATGGGCATGACATGGTCTCTAAAAGCGGCTAGCAGTCCTGGTTCCCAGTTCCCAGGAAGATCACAAAGCAGTTTTGAAAAACAGGAAGCAGCGCTCTGGGTGGAGGGCAGAGCCCGCCTGATAGGTTTGATTGCTTCCTCTTTAGCAATGCTTATCATTCAAAACTCTCTGGCTTTCAAAGAGGAAATGTTTCTTCATTGCCAAGGCCAGGAGAGCAGCTCTCCCTGTTTCGAGGAATCCCTGGGAGATGAGAATACCTGCAGAAGGGGGGGGGGGGGTCGGACCACAAAGCGTGAACCCTGATAACACCGTGCACACTTGGAAAACTAAGAATGTCATCAAAACCAGTATGTCTCTTTAGGTCCCGACCTCTGTGTTATGAGCCAAAATTTCTTCAAGACTATAAAAGTTGGGTTATGCTTTGTTCCTCACAAAATCATGACTTATTTCTAATCATATAAAACGATGGAAAATAAAAGCAGCCTTGTATATCATGTGAATATTGAGTTAGCCTCTGATTTGCCAGCCGGTAACTGCTTTCTGGGTTATGTCTAGGCAAGCCTTCCACACCCAGCAGTCAGGCAAAGCCCAGGAGTCTTGAGATTTCCTCCTTATCCGATAGCTGGTAGCACTTTTCCTGTTTACAAACATGTCTCTGGTGCCAGCTATGTGCTAAGGTGTGTACCAAAAGCTGGGAGTCAGCAAGGAAGAAGGCAAACACTCCCTGCCCACATGAAGCTTACTCTGAGAACCAGAGACAGAATTCAAGCACCATTTCCATAGATGCTTAAGGAAAAAGTTAAGATGCTGGGAGAGATTGTAAGAGGGGACCTGATCTAATGTGTCAAAGAAGACCTGAAATAGGAGAAAGTTTTGCCTGGGTGTCACTAATGACATGAATTCACCAGTCCAAGGCAGTATCTTTGCCTAGAGGCCCTGTCATGGGAGGCACATGAGGTCCAAGTGGCTGAGCAAAGGGTTCCAGTGGAGACCAATATGGTAGGGCCAACCGTGTGAACCCAATAATGGTTGTGATAAGGGGGTGTTTGAACCCAGGATGTACATACAGGGTAAGCACACTACCATTGAGCCAAACCCCAGCCAAGGAGTACTGGTTTTTTTTTTTTTGTTTTTTTTTTACCCCCAGCAATTGGAAACACTCATCCTAAGGAAATGAGAACTTGATGAAGACTCTGCCTCCAGGTTGAAGAAATCTAGGTTGCTTTTTTGCAATTCACAAAGACTCAGGCTGCCCCAGTAAAAGAAAATGTCCTATGTATATCTGTGCCTCACCAATGTCCAAAATATGTCCTAGAAACCCAAAGATGCTGTAATCCAGCAGTATGTTAAGATCTCCTTTCAAAGGACTTGAGAAGTAGGGGAATCCTGCTGGTTGAATAATCTAGCCACTTGACAACTACTGTTACTAATCACAGGTTGCTTAAGTGCTGTGGTTCAGGGTTGCAGGAATATTTGTTTACACTGTAAAGATGTGTCTCTGCCTAAGCCTCCTTTTGATTGGTTTAATAAAGAGGTAAATGGCCAACAGCTAGGCAGGAGAGAATAGGTGGGACTTCCAGGCAGACAGAGAAAGAGAGACTTGGAGGAGGAATCTAAGCCAGTAATTTCCCCAGAAGACTCAGAGCAAGTTGTATGTGCTGTACTAAGAAGAGGTAACTGAGCCATGTGGCAGACATAGATTTTAAAAATATGGGTTAATGAAGTTATAAGAGCTAATTGTTTGGGTTATTTGGTTTTTGTTTTTTGATTTTTTTTTTTTTTTGTGGTTCTTTTTGTTTTGTTTGTTTGTTTGTTTTGGTTTTGGGGTTTTTTGTTTTGTTTTGGACAGGGCCTTACTACTTAGGATGATAGACTTGTACCACCATACCCAGAATATGGCCACTTTTTTATTATTTGAAAAAAAAAAAGGGACTTTAGCTGTGGCTTGGTGCTGCTCATCCTTAATTTCAGTATTCAGTGGTCAGATGTAGGCTTTTGTAAGTTGGAGGCCAACCTGGTCTACATAGAGAGTTTCAGGTCAGCTAGTGCTACACAGACCCTGCCTAAATGTGTGTGTGTGTGTGGGGGGGTGTTATTGAAAAATTTCAGGTTCTTTTCATTAAATACCTAGATCATGTTAGAACCAAAATCAATCTCTCTCTCTCTCTCTCTCTTTCTCTCTCTCTCTCTCTCTCTCTCTCTGTGTGTGTGTGTGTGTGTGTGTGTGTGTGTGTGTGTGTGTGTCCCTTAATACGGCCCTGAGCAGCTTCGATGTTGACAGCCTCAGTAATAAAGAAAAGCCAACTATCTTTTTAATTAAGTTCTTGTTCTAAAAGTTCTAGGCATGTTTACTAGACTTGGCCCAGTTGGCTCAAGTGCTCCTCCATTAATGATGGAATAGCCTGGAACAGGGCACGGTGCACTGACATGGCAGCTTGGAGGAGCTGTTCTCAGTGGAAATGGGGAAGGGGTGCTGAGATGGCAAATGTGTGGGTCTTCCTGCTGGAAGTTTTTATCACCCTGGCTGACACATGGGCCTCACCCATGAGGTTTTCCCTATGTGGACACTATCTGGAATTCTAGAAGCTAAGACACTAACTTTTTGTCATAGAATAGCCTCAGGTTCATACATGAATCAATCCTATGCATAACAGAAGAAGTCAGCAAGTGCACATTTCAGCCATGGGCAAGTATTACCAATAACTATTAAGAATCACTTCCCCACACGTTGAATACCATCATCTCATGCAATAAGATGCCATCTGTGCACAGAAGGCAGATGTGTACCACGTGAGTATATGTGAGCTTATTGTCTTTGCTGTGCACATAAGGAAAGAGGTGATGATATCTCCACCCATTAGGACCAATACTCCACTCCTGATACCAACGTCTAAAATACCATGACCATAGTGACTTAAGGGAGAAAAGTTCCAGAATGGGAAGTCATGGCAGCAGGCTGCCAGAGCAGAAAACCAAGAGGTCACATCTCCATCCTTAGGCATGCTGCTAATGGAGGTTTTCCATCCCACCTGCCAGTTCCCAAATAACCACTCTAAGGCTTGGTATTAATTGTAATTGTCTGGCCAGTGGCTTAGGCATACTACTGACTAGCTCCCACGATTGAATGACCCCATTTCTATTAGTTTATATTTTACTACCAGGCTCATGGCTGATTTATTACCTCATTCACGTCTTGCTTCTCCAGCAGCTGCCTGGTGTCTCACTGACTCCGCCTTCTTTCTCTTCATATCTTTGTTTGGATTTCCCACCTGGGCTCTATTCTGCCTGGCCGTTGGCCAAATCAGTTTTATTTATCGACCAATAAGCCAACACATATTTTCAGCGTACAGAAGAACATACCACATCAGTCTTCCCTCAGTGACATACCTCCTCCTGCAAAGCCATACCTCCTAAAGATTTCATAACCTTCCCAAACAGTGCCCGTACTTAAGCTTACGAGAGACATTTCTCACACAAACAACCATAATCTATTTCATAGCCCCCATAGGTTCATGATCATATCATAATGAAAAATGCATTTAAGTACAATTTTTTTAAATCTCTTAACGTGTATTTCCATTGGATTTGAGAGGCTCTCATTTCATGCCTTCACCTCACAGAATAGGTACAGTGCTCTGGAACATATGGTTCTGAGGTAAATCACTTCAGTATCTGCGGTGTGTATAAAGTGACAGTAGCTACATCATAGCTTCATCACTGAAGCTTAGGGGAACAGACATAATAAAGAGCTAGTGGCTGCTCATAGAAGGCCCAGAAACAAAACTTTGCTTCCAGGTGTCAGTTTTTGGTTTCTGATACCATTCTCCAGCAAAAGCAACCATGCTCCTTGGAGAAGTGCCTGATGCTAGAACTAGGATAAGAAATACAAAGAAGAAGCCGGGCATTGGTGGCGCAGGCCTTTAGTCCCAGCACTCGGGAGACAGAGGCAGGTGGATCTCTGTGAATTCGAGGCTAGCCTGGTATACAGAGTGAGTTCCAGAACAGGTTCCAAAGCTATACAGAGAAACCCTGTCTTGAAAAACCAAAAGAAGAAAGGAAAGAAAGAAATACAAAGAAGAATGTTTAACCTAAAGTGACAGGCAGAGAGAGCTCAAAAATAAACCAATGAGGATGTGTGTTTCAGTATGGAAAAACAACATATTATAAGCTTCTGGCATAAATAAAACACATTAATTTCTCAGTATCTGAAAGCTGGGTAGCCCAAGATTAAAGGGCTGGCCTTATTCTGTTGTAGGTTTTTGTTATTGTGTTTATTTTTAGTTTATGTTTTTTTTATTTGTATATGTGTGTAACACAAATAATAACCTAGAGACTGATATTGGGTTTAAAGCTGAAGACCAGAGAAGTAAAGCTGCCAGCTACTAGAGAGTTCTTACCTGTACCAATGCTCAGACAGGAGGGGCAATCATGTCTTCTGACTGCATCTCCACACTGCCTAGACTACAGACTGAGTCAGACAGAGACCCTGAGCTCCTGTCTTATATTCCTCTCTAGTGCTAGGATTAAAGGCTTCTACTACCACCACTCAGCTAGTGTGGCTGCTGGGACTGAAGTTGTGTACCACTACCGCCTGACCTCTATGGCTGTGGCTAGCTTTGCATTCTGATCTTCAGGCAAGCTTTATTAGGTCATAAGCAACTTATCACCACATACGTGAACCTGTGTGGATACACATGTGCCATGCCATGGTCATAGAGGTCAGAGAACTTGCAGGAATTGGTTTTCTCCTTTCACTGTATGGGTCTTGGGGACTTAAACTCAGGTCAGCAGGCTTGGTGCCAAGCACTTTTACCAGCTGAGCCATCCCTCCAACCAGATATTTTTTTAAATGCATATGAGTGTTTTGCCTGCATACTTATGTATGTGCATCGCATGCATGGCAGATGCCCTGGAACTGGAGTCAGGCGTGGTTGTGAGCCACTTTGTGGGCACTAAGATCCGAACCTGGATCCTCTGCAAAACCCACCTCTCCAGCCCCTTGTTTATTTGTTTTTGGTTTTGAGACAACACTAATAGGTTTTCTGTTCCCTGATAATGGGTTCTCTGCTGACACAGTAAGCCAGATCAAGCCAAACTGAAAAAGCATAGGAACAGGTTAGGTTCCAAAAGAACAAATACCATTCTGTATAGCCCAGGCTGGCCTCAAACTTGAGATCCCCTGCCTCGGCCTCCTGAGTTCTGGACTTGGCAGTTATATGATGCCCTGTTGTGGAATCATTTTAAGACATCCCCCCCCCCCCATTTTATCAGTGGCTACCAACTCCTTGTGTGCCCACATGACCTCTGTACACAAGTTGGGGAGAGGGTACAGGCAGCAGAGGGCGGGCTCTTCATACCTCTTCTTACAAAGGTACTAACCTAGCAAGAAGGCACCACCCTCATGGTTTTATCAGACGACCCTTAGTTACCAGCATATTGCAGGTTGGGCCTTCAACATACATGCAGGTAGGGACAAATATTCCCATAGTATGTCAAAGGGTCATAGGACCCAGTGGAAGAGCTCTCTATGCCCAAAGCTGGGCTGACTTGAGAGGCAAAATAAAGAAGGTAGTACTGGATTAAAAACTGGAGTGTAAAATCGATATCCATGAGTCCATGAGTATATCAGCAAATGACTGCATAAACATCCATCGAGGAGGACCTAAATCTACTATGCAGAATCCATGCGGTCTATTCATTCTGTCCTCCATAGCCAGTGTGTGTGTGCCTGTGTGTGTATGTCTGTGTGTGTGTCTGTATATGTGTGTCTCTGTGTGTGTGTCTGTGTGTATATGTATATGTCTGTGTGTGTCTTTGTGTCTGTGTGTCTGTATGTGCATGTGTGTCTGTGTGTGTGTCTGTGGTGTGTGTGTATGAGTGTGTATGTGTATGAGTGTGCGTGTATGAGTGTGTGTCTGTGAGTGTGTGTGTATGAGTGTGTGTCTGTGTGTGTATGTATGAGTGCCTATGTGTGTCTGTGTGTGTGTATGAGTGTCTATGTGTGTGTGTGTATGAGTGTCTATGTGTGTGTGTGAGAGTGTGTGTGTGTGTGTCTATGAGTGTCTATGTGTGTGTGTGTGAGGAGACAACTTGTGAGAGTCCATTCTTTCCTCCTACAATGTGGGCCCCAGTGCTCGAACTCAGGCTCCTTTACCCTGTGAGCTCTCTCTTCAGCCCTCCCCCCACATTAAAATAAATAAACAGAGAAAATAAGATGGAAGGCTGAGTGTGGTGGCACCTATCTTTAATCCCAGTGTTTGAGAAGCAGAGGCAGGCAAATCTGTGTAAGTTTGAGGTCAGCATAGTCTACATCTCTAGCCAAAGCTAGACAATGAGATCCTGTCTCAAACAAACAAAACAAAACAAAACAAAACAAAAAAAGATGGAAATAAGAGAAGGCAGGCAGAAAGAGAAGAAAATAGAAAAAAAAAAAAAAAGTTGCTTTTCAAAATAAAAACCCTGGCCCTTGAAAGGACCCTGTCTAGAGAATGAGTAACCAGGACAACAGTGGTCGTAAGGTGGGAAAGGCTGGCAAACCCGGGAGCCAGGGAGTCTGCGTCAACTCAGCAGTCATAATCAGAGCGATAGCCTTGCACTTGATAGGAGCTGATAAACATGGCACTTGGCTTCCTTGGTTTCCAGGCCCTCACTCTCACCACAGTAAAAGCAGATGAACTTCAGAGGGAGCCAGCTGTTCTAAAACCAAGCAGGCCTCCAGGAGTGTCCCACAGGGTCCTCACTCATGACCTGGAAGGGAACACACACAAACAGAAGGGTATGATGCAAAACTTAAGGAGACCCACATAGAGTAGGGACGTCAGGTAGTGGCAGCACGTCCATGCACGCTCAGTAATTGAAACTGCTGTGCTAGTGTAGGATGCCGATGGGATGCATATGATCTTCTCAGGCTGTTATCAGAAGTCATTCTGAGTGTGGTCTAAGCCTTACTCATTCTGTCTGCATTTATGCATATGCACCAGGTGTGTACCTAGTGCCTAAGGCCAGAAGAGGGTGTCACATCCTCTGGAACTGGACTTACAAGTGATTAGGCGTTGTTTGTGGGGACTGGGAATAGAACTGGGGTCCTCTGAAAGGGCAGCAAGTGCTCTTAACCCCTGAACCACCTCTTCAGCCCCCCCGAAAGTTTGGGGGTTTGTTGTTGTTTATTGTTAAAAAAGTATCTGAATGCATTGCATTTTGTTTGTTTTGTTTTCATTTGCCTCAAACTTGAGATTCCCCCCTGACTATGCCTCCCACCTAAAATTCAGGGATGTCAGCCATGTGCACACCTGCACAGCTTCCTAACACACACACACCCACAACACCCCCACACACACACACACACACATGACCATGACAGACTGCACTGTGGTTTTAACATTAACTGAACCACTTTTTAAAAAACATTCCTGAATCTCAGGACTGCAGAGATGACTCAGTGGTTAAGAGTGTTTCCTTCTCCTCCAGATGACTAGAGTTCAGTTCTCAGCACACACATCATCGTGACTCACAGCAGCCTGTAATGACAGCTCCGGGAGAGCTGATGCAAAAAAAAAAAAAAGGAATCTGACTAAAGCCTGGAATTCCAATTCCACCAATAGGGCAGAGCTCAGCCAAGGAGCCTTAGTACATGTTCTGCCATGAAGCACTAATAGTGATCACTGAAGGCGAGGAGTTAAAATGAGTTCGCTACAGACCATGTTGTCGAGGAAAGCCCACATCTTCCCAAACCATGGAGTAAGAGTGGAAGAGTAAAAGGGCACAGGAAGAAGTGGAAAGGATGAGAGGCGCTGTGAGTTGTTGACTCCACGGTGGAGCTGCAGAGTGTGTGGGAGCCCAGGAAGCCATCTTTGAGCATGCCGGAGAGCCAGGCCTCACCTGAAGCTCCAGACACCAGGTCAACCCTGTTAGGAACTAGCAGCCAGCTGACCCCCGCCCCGACGATGGGCGGGACACTCATGGCCGTGTCATCGCTAGGTCAGCTTTACCTGGAGGCATGACTTAGTTACGCATGTGCAAGCCTCTTTTAACGCAAGTGCCCCATACCCCTCTCTCTTGCTTTCGGTTGGCCTTCAGCTACCTCCTCTTTCTCTCCCCTCTCTCAATAAACTCCACGTGGGCGCCGAGTCTCGTGTTTGTGTTTTATAGGCATTAGTTGCATCAAAAGAACAACAAACCCTCCAGCCACACTCAGGAAGCTGGACCAAAAGGGCTGAAAATTGGAGGCCAGCCTGGGCTACATGGCGAGACTCTGTGTAGGGGAGGATGATTGTTGCCTGTCCAGTTACTCACATCTCCTTCTCTTCCTCATGCTCCTCCTCCTCCACCACCAACATCATCACCAACATCGCCACTATCATTTAAATCTGTCTCAGTCAATAGATGTTTGTTGACTTTCCACCCTGCCATACACTGTCCCGGGTGGGCGCTGAGGATCCTATAAGGAACAACCCTGGACTGTGAAGGTGGGGGGTTGGGGGGGCAGTTACTCAATGCATATAAATAAGGCAGAGGAAGCTGCCAAGTTGAGTGGGCTTGTGGGGCAGGATTCCTGGGCTTAGAGCTAGTTAGGACTTTGTGTTCCCGTCTACGTTCCTGTCATTGTTTCTTCCCCTTTTGGGTCTTTTTTTCTTTCTTTCTTCCTTTCTTTCTTTTGAGTTTCTACAGTAACCATGGTTCCTATGTGAACCTGAACTGAGGGCTAGATGGGCTTGGAGGATGGGAATGAGAGTATTTATATGGGTAAATGGTGGTTGGGGTGGTAGGTCCTATGCTTTCTTTTCCTCAGCAAAAGTGTTTTTGGGGAGAAGCCTGAGTTGGGCAAGAAGCTGGAACTATGGGGTGGGGATGGTGATGAGAGCTGTTTGCAGTCATTACAGGGAGTGGCTCTTCCCTTATCGCTACAACAGACTTCCTTGTGGCCCAATGGGAAGAAGGATGAATACAGAGCCACTTCAATGGTTTTAGAACCTGGTGTATGTAAAGATCAAGAAGCCACACCCTTAGCATCAGCTTTGTGACAGAAGTAGGGACCTGAAGGGGGCTGTCCTCAAGAGAACCATAGGAGCTAATGGTACTTTGTGAGTACTCAGAAATATATTAAGATAAGCACCATCTAAGGATACACTCAGAAATATTTGGTGATGGAGGCTGGAGCATTGTCCTGTGACTGGTAGATCAGTTGGTCCTATAATGAAGAGGTCAAAGCCAACAGTAATCTTTTGACTTGACTATGAAAGGTTTACTACAGGCTCAGTGGTCCTTTAGACCCAGCCTGAAGGTACTGGTTTGGGAAGTAGTAGAGACTTAGGGAATGAGACCTGGAGGAAGCCCCTCCCTACCTCATTAACCCTAACCCTGCTAAATACACACCTTTTCTGGGACCTCCTTCCCCCACCCATCAGCTAGGCTCCCTACTCCATGGGCAGTCCATCTCCTGGTGATCCCAATCTAGCTTCTATGGGCCACTATATGGGAATTGCCCCTCTTCTGGGGTCCCACCTCCTAGTGCTATCAGGTTATCCAGTTCCTCCAGGATCTCCCATCCCCACCCCTCAGACTAAGTCTGCTCCTTCACGCTTTATAATTTGCCAGCCCTTCTAGGAACTGGAGACCTCATTTCTCAATGCTTTTCAGGTAGGCATTGTCCCTCCTGACCCCACAGAACTCTGGACAAACTATGGAGCCCCTGAGCATTCCTGCCCCTCACTGCCAAGTAGAGAAGAAGACTCGGGAGCCACTCCAAGAGGCAGAGGCTGTGCTGAGCCCAGAGGAATGTGTGTGTCTGTTCATGCAGCCAGGGGCTACTCTTATTAAAGACCAGAGCTACAAACTGCAACCTCAATACCACTTCCACCGAAGGAAACATTGTCTCAAACCTCCTACAACCAAGGCTCCCCTGAGCATAGGCACACACCTACATCAAAAGGAGAATGGCCATTTAAGCAAAAAGAAAGATGCAACTAACAGAAATATGCCCTGGAGGGTATTTTGTTTATGATTCCCTCTGGTCCTCCTCTCTACTTCCTCGATACAGTGGAACCAGCAACTTGGCTCTATGACAGCCTTCAGTCTCCAAGGTGTTCTGCTTTCTCACAGAGCCATAGCAATAGAGACTGCTGACCACGAACCGAAACTGTTGAGTCCAAACAAACTTCCCTCCTTTGGGGTGTTTCTCTCTGTGTTTGTCACAGCAACACAAGGGCCAGAATGGGAAGCGAAGTTCCTTCCAGAGTGCTCCAGAGTGATCTCAGCTCCACAGTGGATGAAACCAATTGTGACTGTATCCAGAATGGCTTGTAAGATGGGACTATGTCTAGAACAAGGGGAGGAAGAAAAAGCTAAAAATGTCCACCAACAGGATAGCTCTGTGGCTAAGAGTACTTGCTGCTCTTGCAGAGGACTAGGTATGGTTCCAAACCTAGTAATTTGAGTTCAGTTCCCCAGACCTACACATAGTGGAAGGACAGCACTCACACCTGACCTCCGCACTTCTGAGTTATATGAAATTACATACGAGTGTATTTGTGCCCACGTGTGTGTGTGTGCGCACACGCAGACTAAATAAATACATGTAGTAAAAAACTTATTTTTTTTTTTTCTAAAAGTGAAAAAGGAGGTGGTAAGGTTGTCCTCAAATGTGATGGGCATCTACTCAGAGTTTTGATGTGTCATTATTACTTAGTAATGGTGACAACATTTACAAAGCCAGAGACGTATAATTATAGTGCTGGCTGTACTGGTATGTGCTTGTAATCCCAGTAATCAGGGGGTGAAAGCAGGAGAATTGAGATTACAAAGAATCATTATTTCAGCTCCTGGTTCCAGGGTCCTATGCTCCATCACTGTGGGGAGGCCCTGGTAGCAGGCCCCTGGGCAAATGGTCACACTGGCCCAGCCAGGAAGCAGAGATGAGTGATGGTTCAGCTTGCTTTCTCCTTTTCGTTTGGTCCAAAGTCCTTTGGAGAGATGCCACCTTATTTGGGGTGAGTCTTCCCTCCTCAACCTACACCAGAAACTCCCCCCCCCAGACACATGCCCAGCAGCTTGTTACTATGGTGATTCTAAACCCCATTCAGTAGACAAGATTAACCACAATTATGTAACCAGAAGCAGAGAGAACTTTTAAAAAGGAAACTTAACCTATCGAGAGAGGACAGAAATGAATGGCACAGTGTGCACACCTGTAATCCTAGCATTCTGGAAGCAGATGCAGAGGATTTCAGATTCCATCCAAGACAGCCTGGGCTACACAGGAAGACTGTGGAAGGAGATACAGGGACTCAGGGGTTAAGAGCACTGGTTGCTCTTCCAGAGGAACCAGGTTCAATTCCCAGCGCCAACCATCTGTAACTCTAGTCTCAAAGGTTCCCTTTTCTGACTCCCTGGGGCACCAGGCATGCATGTGCTGCAGACACACATGCAGGTAAAACACTCATATAAATAAGATGAGCTGTGGTGGCACATGCTTTAATCCTAGCACTCAGGAGGCAGAGGCAAGTGGTTCTCTGAGTTCAAGGTCAGCCTGGTCTACAGAGCGAGTTCCAGGACAGCCAGAGCTACACAGAGAAACCTGTCCCAAACAAACATAAACAAAACACTCATGCATATAAAATAATAAAATAAACAAATCTAAGAGAAAAATTGAAGTCTGATGATAGGTCTCTGTTGGTAAAGTGCTTGCTGTGCTTGTCTGTGGGCGTCACTTAGGTCCCCAGAATCCACTTTAAAAACCCAGAGGAGGTTTGCTTTTCTCCCCCAGTGCCTGGGAGGAGGAGAGGACATTGTACCTGTGGAGCTTGCTTGCCAGCCAGCCTAGCCTGCTCTGTGAGCTCCAAGCTCCTGTCTCAAACAATGAGGCGGGGCTGGAGAGATGACTCACTGGTTAATGGTACTTGCTCCGCCTGTGGAGGACCCAGGTTCGGTTCCCAGCACTTTCATTGGGTGCCTCACAAATACCTATACCTCCAGTTCCAGAGCACCCCAAGTCCTCTCCCTGCCTCCACGGGTTCCTGCACGCACATGGGTACATACCTACACTGAGGGGCATAAACTAAGCTAAATTAACTTCAATTATATAAATATTTAAAAAAATAAGTAAAATAAAATTTTAATTAAAAATGAACTATACACACATGTAAAAGCCAAAAATAAGGCGAACAGCAATGATACTCCAAATTGTCCTCTGACCTCCATACACATGTGCACATACAGGCACCTACACACATATGAACACACACAAAGTTAAGGAATATCTGAGGAATAGCATAGTACATATTGCTATATTTAAATATTAAATATTTCAGTGTTCTGATAACCAAAGACTATAAGTTCTTTTCCGACATTTGTGACACATTTAGTTAAAATGAAGATTTCATGTTGGGCAGCAAGAAAAATGTAAATACATTCCAAGAAATTTCAAATTCCTGTTATCTACAATAAAACCAGATGTAAAATAAAAAGAATCAAGAAAACAATCAAGTAACTCACCAACCAAAAGAAAAAATATTTTTGGTGTGGTGCTCTTAAAGGAAAAATAGTATTTTTAAATTTCATGGGCAGAGTGAGTCTTTTGGATATATTTTATAAAGGCAAATTCAATTAGAAAATAATAATGAGAAGAAAATACATTAACCTTTGGAGCTGTGGGCCAGGCATGATGGCACATGCCTTTAATCCTGGCCTTTAATCAGGAAGGGGAGGTAACACAGGTAGGTGTCTCTGTAAGTCTGAGGCCCAGCTCAGTCTGCAGACCAAGTTCCAGGCTAGCCAGGGCAGTATAATGAGAGCTGTCTAAACAAAACGGGGAGGGGGGGAGGAGGGAAGGCGGGGGTGGGGGGGGGGGCTAGAGCCAAAGCATAGTTGACTCCTGACCCACAGGGGTGCCGTTTGCATATCATTTGACAATTTTAAAAGGGTCACTCTTTCCTGGCCACGGGATGAGCTACAAGACAGACACACAAAGACGCTAAGAGGCTTGGATGTCACCATTTATGGTGTCACCTGACTACCTGTGTCACAAACACAACCATTGACCTAGGGAGACGGAACAACATGCACACAGGCTAACATTGCCAAAGGGAAATCAATGGGTTCAGGGTCCTGACCAGAAAGGATCAGGGAGGATGCTGGGAGGCGGGCTCAGCAAAGTCAGGCTGTCTTGTCACATACCCTTCTGTCATAGAAATCATCATCTCTGCTGTCTGTCATTTATTTATTTGTTTGTTTTGTTTTTCGAGACAGTGTTTGTCTGTGGCCTTGGAGGCTGTCCTGGAACTAGCTCTTGTAGGCCAGGCTGGTCTCGAACTCACAGAGACCCCTGTGTCTCTACCCCCTGAGTACTGGGACT